GATAGGCTTAATCCCAAATGTCTTAGCTCCCAGAATGGACTTATAAAACCCATCTCTGACATCACTTTTCTCGCGTGTATGAATAGCTGCAGTTTTTTTTTATTTTAGTTTTACTGGCTTCCTTTCTTCATAGACTCATTCCCATCACTCTTTGGAGACTTGCCTATTGTAAATTAAACTTGAACTCTGGGTAACTGATAATTGTTGAGGTGACAGTTTCCAGTAACTGGGTTCTGCTGGGAAACAAATTTATATGATCTTAAAAGGCTGACCCTGTCGGTTTAGAGAACTCTTAATTGAAGAAAAGTATTTTCGATTTCAACAAACAAGGAAGAAATTTTTACAAAATTGTTTAGCAGAAGTGAGAACTCTGGAATGAAGTTATGAACTGGTTGTATATACTGTATTATGTATTTATCTATGTTTCCAGTACTTGAGATTGAGCCCAAGGTCTCTTACATGCCAAGCAAACACCATAGCGTTGAGCTCATTAGCATATCCAGAAAGCTAAATTTGCTGCTTTCTTGAATCAAGTATTCTAGGTTTGCAATCAACTATGAATTATCGGAGTTATAATATTCTGGCCAAGGAAATCAAGTTTTATATTTTGATTTTTTATCATACAATTGCACATATGGCAAGTAGACGTGTGAGTCACAGCGCACGACGTGTGAATCATGGTGCACGACAAACGTGTGAAGTAGACGTGTGAGTCATGGCACACGACAAACATGTGAAGTAGATGTGTGAGTCACGGCGCACGACAAATGTGCGAAGTAGATGTGTGAATCATGGTGCACGACAAATATGCAAAGTACATGTGTGAGTCATGGCACACGACAAACGTGTGAAGTAGACGTGTGAATCATGGTACACGACAAATGTGCGAAGTAGACGTGTGAGTCATGGCACACGACAAACGTGTGAAGTAGACGTGTGAGTCACGGCACACGACAAACATGTGAAGTAGATGTGTGAGTCACGGTGCACGACAAATGTGTGAAGTACATGTGTGAGTCACGGTGCACGACAAACGTGTGAAGTAGACGTGTGAATCATGGTGCACGACAAATGTGCGAAGTAGACGTGTGAGTCACGGCACACGACAAACGTGTGAAGTAGACGTGTGAGTCACGGTGCACGACAAACGTGCGAAGTAGACATGTGAATCATGGCGCACGACAAATGTGTGAAACGCAGAGGACAATCTGTGAAGTCAAGTTTCCCTTTCTACCTTTCCATGAGTTCCAGGGCCTCCGTTTCCCAGGATGGTTACTGGGGAATGCAAACAACATCACGTGCTAAGCCATGCCACCTTCGCAAAGACATAGATTTCTAAACAACTGAAGGTAAAATACATAAATTTGCAAATAGTAAAGCCCAATTTGAGCTTGTTTACTCTTATTCTGCTTTTTACATTGATACTCCTTTGCTTACTACATATGTCTGAGTCAACAATGTTACAAATAAATGAAAGAGTCTTATGTTTGCTTAAAGTTCTTATTAAACTAGAGAGAATCTATGCAATGAAACATAAGTGATATTAATATATCGTGGTAGAAAAGGCCCAAATTACAAAACACGTGATGAAACCAGTGTCCTTTAACTCCACTCTTCCCACAGTTTGCTAAATTGACATATATGAAAAATAACAGCAAGCCTGGTGTTGAGCCCCTCTGGAGAGCAGAAGGCACTCAGCTCTACATGGTCCCTAATACAGCCAGTCTTCACACTTATATGAAAACACTGCAATAGATGTTACAGTGCAAACTCAGAACTGTTGTCTAACCTGGATTTTATTCCATGCCATTTTTTTTTCTGATAATTTCTGGTCTCCAACATGACAAATCTCTAGGAAGCCGTTTATGAGTCTCTAGGTCTGCAATATGGCCCAATAAGGAAGATTTGAACAACACTGGTTGAGGAACATTTAACTGATTTTCTAATTACCTGTGTTTGTTTTTTATAGTGTATGCAGTATACACTAGTAATAACTGGAATATATACAGGCCTTGGTGGAGATTATTTGCCTTGAAGTTTACATTGTTAATCTTTCACAGACTCATTTCATTTCTCAAGAATTACGAATTTAAAGACGTAGAAACCATACATACAAGTAACATTATACTGACTTAGCAGGTTGTATATCGGAATATATGTGTGTACATATATACATACATTCCTATATTTCACTGTAGGAATATATCCGTATAGTTAAAAAGCAGCCATGAATTTGAAGGAGAGTGGGACTGGAATATCAGGGATGGTTTGGAAGGAGAGACAGGAAGGGAGAAATGTTGTAATTATTATCTCAAAAAAAAAATGTAGAAAACAAAAGTAGGACTAGCACTCAGTTTGGACCGCTGCACTTTTCTGAGTTAGTTCCTAGATGGCTCCACTGGGTGGCAGCAGTGCAGTGTAGGAAGCAAGGGGTGAAGCCTGAAATTCTGAGGAGACACCAGTAGACACCAAGATCACCATTGTTACACTGGGTGCTGTGATATGTCAAGTCGAACATTCATAAAATCAGAATTCTCCTGACATACTTAGGGAAAAATATATTTAAAAAGACAAATACTGCAGTGATTTTTGCACTGAGCAGTATCTTATGGAAGATAGGTTGACCTCCGATTGCAATAACTTTTATATTGCTGTTTCATTGTAATGTGAAGCATGTGTCACAGACTAAATTTGAAGTGACGAAGTTTTCTTAATTAAGTATGTAATTTTAAAAATTATAAGATGAGTTTTGTTATGTGGTTGATATACATATATTGTGCATTATCTCCATTAAATTAATTAAAAAAATAAGCATCTTGGATATAGTAGATTTTATAAATACTGTGATGTTAAACCAGCCTCATAAATTATTCAGAAGTTGAATTTGTAATTCCTGACATTTTAGCAACCACCAAAAATATTCCGGAAAAAAAATGGCACTATTGTACGTTTCTGCAGCTAGAAAAACAATTTTAAAAAAAGAAATTGCAGAAACTTAATATTTATAATATGCAAATGATGCAACTATTAATGCAGCTTCCATTCAAGTCAGCAAGCACCAGGGTAAACAAAAACGACGTGAAGAGGAGCTGAGAGCCTTTAAAATGATGAACTGTGACTGAACGCACTCCTCCACATCCCACTCCCACTCCTCCACATCCCACTCCCACTCCTCTGCACCCCGCTCCTGCTCCTCTGCACCCCGCCCGGATCCCCAGCTCCCTCCTTCCAATTCATGAGCTCTGCATGGGACTCAGGTGAACTGGCACTAGTCAAACAAACAAGGAAAAAGTCACTTTGCTCTTTTCTTTTTTAAAGTTAAATGTTTATTTGCACTACTTGAATGATAACATCAGTCAAAAAAATCGCACAGTGTGGGTCTAAGTATAGTCCCCCTGTTATTAGAAATATAATTCACTTGCACTGAGCAGTATCTTATGGAAAGTATTTTACCATAATTGTGTTGTGGTAACAAGAACTAGAGACAGCTGTGCTTTAATTGAATCTGTGAGGCATGCCTTCTAACATTGTGAGGGACATGCCCAAGTCCAGATTCCTTAGGGTATACCAGTTAAACTGCATTATTACTTAGGGTGGTCAGCCTTATAAAAATATTTCCCTTAGAATTAAATCAACTGAGTAAGTAGTAACATTTTTTAAACATATGGACAGTCCCCTAAATGACCCAGTTGAAAATGTGAAGAAACTGAAGTACTGCTTGTTTGTTGAAGCGAGTGGGATCACGCAAGAGAGGGAGATGGTGCCTGTCTCTTCTGGGCCATGTCATTGTCCATATCATTTTTAAGTGACTAAAAGTCAGATGCAAGCCAGGAATCAATGTAGAAGATTTGACACAGGACCTTGAAACTGAGTTGGCACATGAAGAACTGAACTGATACAGGACCACGGCAAGTTTGAGACCAGATTGGGTTATGTAGCATGGTTTTGTCTCTAAATGAACAGAGCAAACAGGTGTGTCCACCGCATGACATCCACATACATTGCCAGCCAAAGCAAACCTGGATGACTCAAACTGTGGCTCAGATGAGACGTCACAGATGAAGCAGCACCGTCCAAAGCATACATTTTATAGCACAAAGTGTTATGACATCTGTGGCCTAGACCAATCGGAGAAAGAAAGAAGTGTGAAGATAAGTATTTTGAGATTTGTGCTCAAGAATCTTGTGCCAAACAAAACAAAACAGAAACTGTCAGAGCTGCAGAGGTGACTCTGTTTTGGTTCTGTCTCAAGTTCAAATATGGGGATCTGAGTTCAGATGCATAGTGCCTCCTTAAGAAGCAGGGATAGCAGGTACCTGTAGAAAATCTCAGCTTGGGAAGGAGGATTTTTTAGGGGGCTTGATGAACAACCAGTCTAGTGAACCACTGAACTTCAGGTTCAGGGAGAGACCCCCACCCCTAAAATGAAGGTGGAGACTGAGGAAGATACTTGATGAAGAACCCTGACCTCCAAGTGGATGTGTACACAGGTTCATGGTACACCCTGTCACAATGCACACACAATGGCCATCCCATATGGTTATGAAAGAAAGCAAACAAATAGCCACTTAACTCACCCATCTTTTCCTTTAAATAACTGACAAGAAATCATAGTCTCAGATATCTCCAAACTTGCATCGCCCACTGCCTGTGTGATAGAGAAATGTTTTTACTGCAATTGATGCTTCACCAGGTAGAAATGAAGCTAAGTTGCCTGCAGGAGGAACTTATCACAAAGATCACCATCACTGTCCAAGCACTGAGCTTGGAGACTTGATGAGTGACGGACAGCCTGATGCTAAAACCACTGAGGCATTGGGAATCTTTGTTCAGGGTGCACGTACGGTTCCCTTTTAGTGTCTTCTCCGATCCTCCACAGCTTCAGTGTGTGTCTTGTTTTATTGATTTCACTGCCTGAGAAAGCTTTTAATTGTTTCTGCTTCAGCAATTTATTTGACTGTTCAATTAAATTTTACTCACCCAGCTTTCAACTTTCTTAGGTCCGTGTGTTTACATTTTCTGTTGGTCAACATAATTATGACAGAGGACCTATTCAGTGGATGGCTTGTGAAAATAAAGGTAATAGATATGTTTCTCTTTAGCACGTTTTCTTAGAAGATAAAATACTTTGAAAACTATTGTTATGTATTAACTCACATTTAAAATAATGTAAAGTAGGAATTTTAGAAGGTATGTAATAAGAATTAGATTTGGAACTCGCTTTCTAAAGAAAAGAACACAGGACGAACTGTGAGATTAACACTGCATTAGCATATACTTGAACATCTGATCCTAATATTGTGAACTGTGAAAGGGGCGATGATGCTTAATGACATATAGCAGATTTGTGCACAGATTTTCCCTTTGACTGACTGAATTACTCTTTTTGAAAACCATCTCAGGCTTTCCTCAATATTCAAATTTTATGCAGTGAACTACTTTCTTTGTATTCAGAAAAAAAAGGAAGTCTTTTGAAGAATAAACTGGTTATTTTACAGCAGAAAAGAAAACCTGAATTCATTTTAAAACGTTTATTTTGGAAAATGTATGTATATAATAATTATGTATTTATGTGTACCTTTAAAATATTTTATCTAGTGAAAATATTTTCATAGCTGTAGTTTCCTTACTGCTTTGTAGACAACAGTAGTTATCTTACACTACCTAGAAATATAGTAAATTTTATCAGAAAGTCTCTAAGGTTGTTGACAATATTAATTACTCAATATTGTTTTGAATTTAAGTTATATTTATATTTTAATATAAATATTTTATATTATCTATTTACGTGCTCAAGTTAGAATGAAAGTCACCTTTTATTCTTTCAGGAAACATAAGACTATTTCTGTGGGTCTGTATTATACATGCAATATTTATGAATATGTATGCATTTCAGGTTATTATTATGAGATTCCCTCCATCGGTGCAATAAGAATCAATACTCAGGTAAGATTCTTTAAAACTTTTACAACTTTTTCCAAGTTTAAGATTACGTTCCTAGAATTAAAAACATATATCCCTGGTTTAAATGACTTCAATCTGAAGAATATAAGTAACACTAGAAAAATGATTGAAGTAATTTACATTTGTATACAATGTTGGCTAATGTGACATTTATTGGTATCTCTATCTTTAAACATTTAAAACACAGATAAATACATATATAAAATAAGTTGTTATTCTTGGGATTTAAAAAGGTCATAGAAAATAGATAAAATGAAATTTAGTAATAATCTCTTGTAATTTTTTTATCCAGTTTGTAAATTGCATGACTTTCTTAGCCACACAGATCATTAAACAGTAACTATTCTTGGAGAGTTATGTAAGCCCAAGATAGGACGTGAGTTCTTCCCACAGATTGGTGCAGTTCTATTTACATATTTATTTAAACAAACCTACAGTAAGATGACTTTCTAGCACTATTCACTTGATTAAATATTTATCATTTTGAAACATTCATAAATTGTGATTTAAAGATCATCACTCAACTTGAAACACCAGGAGTATAGTACAAAATCTCGTCATTAAAGTTTAACTTTCTTAGCGCGTTCTCCATGGCAGTGCACACTGATCTAAGAGCTTCTGAGAGGAGACAGAAGTGTACAGGACTCTGCTGCCTAGACTTGGCACGTATTTCAGTTTTTTTTTTGAAGTGTTTAAATGCAGTTTTGAATTTCATCCAAACAATCTGTTATATGAAAAGCAAGTATGTGGCTGGTTTATCATTTCAAATTTGTGCAATTTCACACATAAATCACAGAGCCTTAAATAGTTTAGATCAACATGAAAAGCATCTCATAAAGAATATATTTCACTTACCATTGGCTATACTTTTAGAAACAATGTTCTGATTGGTACTAGAAAAAAAATAAAAACAAGGAGAAGATATATTATTGACCCAATGTATATAGACATACCATTTAAGAAATAAGTTAGATCAAAATGTGGAAGACCTCAAGTAAGATAAACATACTCTTAATGATTGGGTTCCATATTTATTTTCAATTTTCAACTTTTCTTTTGAAGGTTATTTTAAAACATAATATCTTGTGTTTGTTTGTTTGTTTTGTTGATGTTTTACCACCTTTCTTTTGTGTAAATAGGAATATCTAGATGTTCTGGGAAGACCAATGGTTTTAGCTGGTGACAAGGCAAAGCAAGTTCAGTGGACAAATGTATATTTGGATGCACTGGTAAGAGAATGGGATTCTCAACCAAAGCTGTCATAACAAGGGTGCCTAACTGACTTACCACTCTAGGTGACATTTTCTGTTTTCTCTTCACTGAATTCTTCTTAGACTTTTTTCCTTCGAAAGCCTTTCAGCTGGTTTTAGAAAGTATTTAGAAAACCCTAGATTGCATCAGTATAAAACCATACATGTAAAGTTCAGGTTGTTCTTGATCCACTGAAAATACCAGTTTTCTAACCTAAAATGTTGAACATATGGGAATTTGTGTAACTTTTTGGTTCTTTAATATAAAATAATGCTGAACACCATATGAGTTCATCATCAAAACTCCATATTTAGAACATTTAAAAAAATGTATTTCTAGAGTGGATGTCCATTATTAACTACATGTACAAACATTACACGAACTCAAAAGTATATTTTGTAGCTCCACGGAAAATTGACAACATATTTAAATCAGCATGGACATAACTATATTTTCATGTAGAAGAATCTCTGGCTCTGAGGTCAAATTCCGTCATTCTTGTGGAGATATCACACTTCGGTCACAAATCTGCTATTTGATAGCATATGCACATATGTCCATAACAAAATCACCATCTTACAACATCATTCTATCATGGTTGAAGCAGTAATTTTCTACTGGGGGTTCTTTTTTCCTATCTATGTCACTTGAACATATATAATGACATTGTTGTCAGGCACAGAGTGGTACAGAGTGGACCCCATTTCCCACACAGCCCAAAATTATCTAGCCTGAATTGTCAATATTAGAGAAGCTCAGAAATCCTGTTCTAATTTATTTTTCTTTATGACACTATTCATTAAAACTTACAATATCTAAGATTGCCTCATATACCAAATCTGAGCCTGAAGACTTTTTAGTCATTTATCAGAGTAATTTTGCTCAAAAGTCTAAATACAAAACTGAAGGTAAATGCTGATTCAATAATGCCCTTTTCCCTACTTAGAGCCATTATATGCCCTTGCTGCTTCCCTCAGTGAAGTGATGAACCCGAAGGACGAAGTACCACCCATTAGAATGACTTATCACTTGGTACTTGCAAAATAAACACATACAGGAAGTTAGAGAGAAAATAGGGACTATTAACAGCACTCTGGCATGGTAAGGGAGATAAAGAAAAGCTTGCTTGCCTCAAGCCACAGAAATGACTGTCCAGTGTTCCTTCTTGACATTACTTATTTACTTAAGGTCACATGGTCATCTCCAGCCATGACCAAGATTTTTCAGTTGTTCAAATCCATCACAGACTAAACATGATAGGAGTCAATAGTTAGGCCCTGCTGAATTTCCTATGACCAGAAGTTCATCAACCAGAGTGTCTGCATTGCTGGCAAGCTTCTTGCTGATAACACAAATAACATCTGGAGGAAATGCTGATTCTAAATGTTCTTCTTTACAAGCTGAAACAAGATGTTAAAAAGGGGATGGGGAATAAGTTAGATGGTCAGAGAGCATGGAGAGCATTCTTTGTACTGGCTGAAAAGTAAGTGAGCCATCACTTAGAATTGATGCATGTCAGGGGTCCAAAGTACACTTCAGCCAAATGAGCAGTTTATTAGGAAGGGAATATACAGTATGTAAAGAACAGAGTTGATAGCTACTGTGATGTGAAGAACTCAAAGATCTGTAGCACTTTAAAAAAGGAAGTTGTGTGTTTAGAGTTAGAGCAGGGGGTAGGTGAAAAAGAGACATTTCAGTTGAAGGTAGCACAAGTCATGTTTCTGTAATGCCAAGGAAGGATGAAACCACATAAAACAGTACATTATCAAATTCAGTACCACTGGGTGCACGGAAGAAATAATACCAGCACAGGCTCAATTTTACAGACCCTGGTTATAGGCGAGTAGCAGAACTAGGGTTGTGTTATGGTGAGATTGTTTCATTGGAAAATGAAGTAAGACACTTCACATATTAAGGGAGAAAGAAAGAGTTGGAATATTCAAAATAAGGAGGCAGGACACTTTTTTATTTTTTTTATTGTATTCTATAGAAAGTGTGCACAGTGTCTGGAGCAAGGAACACACTTTGAGGTCTACTTGTTAAAAATGATATTCATTTGAGGATTATTTGAAAGTAACAGTTAAACATCACAGTACTCACCTAGAATTATCTAGATACATATTAACAATAGTATGTTTCTTCTGTGTGGCATGACATTCAGCTGAATGTTTGTGATGCAACATGACACTTTTGACTCAGGGCATAAAAACTGTGAATGAAGCTACAGAAAACAGCTTTCAGCGAACTAGCTTCGGATGCTAGTCTCATATGGAGCCACCTGATATTAAGTGAACTATCATTGTAGAAGAAATGTAAATGTGACCGTTATTATTACAGTGTCACTGTTACATTTGACTAAGTTGTTTTTTTTTATTTTCAATACTTATTAGATGTTGCATAATTCAAGACTCTTTAATAGTATTTATATCTAAGAAAATTTCATTGATTCTTTTAAATATGTTTCAAAGATATTCAAAAGTACTTTTAAGTTTTTTATGACTCTTAATGAGATAATCGTAGAGTGAAGTTTCCAGTTTCAAAGGCTAATGGAGTAGTACGAAGTTCAAAATGTTGCTTTCTTTGGCCTTTCTTTCTCTGTCTATTTTTAGGAGCTGGGACTTGTCATTACTGGAACTCTACCGGTCTTCAACGTCACTGGACAATCTGAAAATAAGACAAACTTGAAGGTAAAAAGTTCATTGATAAAACTAATAATAATAAATGATAAACTATGACGTTGAGGCTCCATGTGGATAAGATATTTCTATAAGGACATACATACGATGTAATTGTCTTGTAAGACTACAGGTCAGTGGGAACAGCTGTCCATGTGATAACCACCTGGGTAAAGGGAAGTGAAGGTCAAATCCTGGTGGCCTTAGAGTCAGGGTTCAGCTTCAGTTGGTCTGACTGTGACCTGATGGGAACAGAAAGTCAGACTGCAAGGAATGACAGGATAGGTGCACAGTAGTACTTTTTAAAATATGCTTGAGTTATTTATGGAATTCAGGGGTAAAAATGCAAAACCTCAAAACATGTTTTCTTTGAATCTGAGGCAGATAGATTACTGGATTCTTGTTTTTGAATTCTCAAGTAATAGCTTTTCTGTAATAATCTAAGGATCTAATAGGTTCCTTCTGTTATGTTTTACAGCTCAATAAAAAAATTAGTCTCAAAATACTCATTTTTTTATAGCTCTGGTATTATTATCAGTGCAACAGGAGTTATCCACTGGAAAGTTATCATTAAGCAGTGAATATAATGTCTAATATGTATTAAATACTTCTTATTTTAAATAGAGTTACATAGTTAAGAATGAATATATTAAAGAAATTATTTTTACTACTAACAGGATATGTATATTTCCTGTTAATATTAATATATATATATAATTTATGATGCAGACTATATTGGTAGATTAAAGAAATATTTATTTCTAACTTGTGGTTCAGTGAAGTCTGTTGTACTAAAGCATTGTTTGTTTAGTTTTCTAAAATATTTACTTATTTAATATATATGAGTGCCATGTTGCTTTCATCAGACACACCAGAAGAGGGCATTGGATCCCATTACAATGGTTGTGAGCCACCAAATGGTTACTGGGAATTGAACTTGGGACCTTTGGAATAGCAGTCAGTGCTCTTAACTACTGAGCCATCTCTTCAGTCTTGTTTGTTCAGTTTTAACAAGTTTCAGTTCATTGCTTCATTTTACTACTGAAGTTCTACAAAAGCATTGTTTCTCACTTAAGGGACTATTGACATCTTAAATATTCCTGAGACTTAAATACTGAAATTTATAATATTTTAATAATCTATGTCCTTCCTTATCATGTTTTAAAATTTTAGTGTAGCTTATCTGTCAGATTGTTTTCATTTATTGTTTTTATTCAGCCTAGGATTTGTTCTTAGCAGCAGACCATAGTTACTGACCTAACTCTTTCTTGAATAGAATTTTCATGTCTTTTGTCATTTAATTTTAATCATTAATGTTTTATGTAAGTTAGCAGTTGGGATGATGAAGTTGTAGAAAACAGTCAAATCTGAGAGTTCTTGTAAATTGACATCAAAAGTATTGTCTTTTGTGTGTGTGGTGTGTGTGTGTGTGTAAGACTGAATATACATTTCTGTAGAACAGGTTCTGGTATAAAACACACTAACTTTGACATCTTCTTTTAGAATCAGTTGATTCTTGGTGTAATGGGCGTTGATGTGTCTCTGGAAGATATTAAGAGATTGACACCACGTTTTACAGTAAGCTGCAAATTATTCTTTTGACTATTCTTTTCCTATTTCAAAAGTATGTGTCTACAGGGAATGATTAGCTCACACTTGGGTGCAGGCGCAGGTTCTTGAATCTTGTTGTGCTGTTGTGATTCCCTTGGCTCCAAAAAGACTGGAAACCGGGAATCTTGACTGAGTTGCTACGAGGCCCTGCCCAGCATGGGAAGTTCTCACACAGTCTGGTAGTTCCGAGGGGGCATAGAGCTCTTGGATTGGGGATCCCTGGGCCAGGAGGTGGCTGGGGACTGACTAGTCTCAAGCCCTTGGGCTCTCAGAGGCAGGCTGTGGAAGGACTGGGGGCGTGTGGATGTGAGACCGGGCCAACCTACAGCCGAGAGAAATGAGCAGGGGGGTGGGGGGGAGGCTGCAGCAGCACCCCGTATTCACTTAGACTTGTTGGCCTGGCTAACTTGCTTGAAGATGTGCGTCCTTGTGGCAGAGAGGTCCCCAAGGTGGGAAGTTAGGTGCAGCTGCTGCAGAGGCAGACCTGAGTTAAATAGGGAGGGAGAAAGGGGAAGGGTCTGGTGAAGAATGCTTAATTGGCTCCACCCTCTGGCCTTCAGGTATCTCATTAGTATGTAAGTCTCTCTTGGGCCTGAGACCTGTAGTCACGCCCTCTACCTGTGCTCTTTGGGAGGGGCTGCAATGGCCTTCATGACTGAACAGTACAGGTTAAATGGAGATCTACACCACATGTTAGGAGCCTGGATTCTGGGAGCACTGTGGAATAAATGACCATCCCTTACAGGGTCTCCAGGCTACTTCCAGCCAGCACTCTACCAAAAACCAAGATGCCTTTCACAGCCCTACATGTGTCAATGTAGTTTGTTCACAAATCACTTGAGTACAAATGCATGTAGGAGTACTCAATTAATCACTCAAACTGATCTCGGTGACAGTGCGTTTCTCACTACCGGCCCAGTGTTCTGGATTCTTAAGTGAACATAAACACAACCTTTATATTTTTATATGCCTTAAGCAGGTCAATGACTGGGCCACTACATAATCTTTACCAGGTTAATCCACCTCCCTCTGATATTCCCAAGTTATTACTTACTAAATCCTATACTCCATCTTTGCTGCCCTGGACCAGTTGGGCCACCTCCTTGGGGCTGCTCTTCCCTGGCTCCTATCTGGCAACTATGCTGTCGGTCCCTCACCTTCTCAGGCATGACATTTTTCCTCTCCTTTTCCTGGCATTGCATGGCAGATCTCCTTCTTCCTTCTCCTTTGGTCCTTCTAGCCTAATATTTAGAATCCTAAAAGTCTCACCTCTGTCTGCCCCGCTCAGCCACTGGCTGCCCGAAACTTTATTTACCAATCAGAACCACCTGAGTGCAGGGTCCCTCAGTGTTTTTCATGTGGACCTGTAGATTCTCTTGTAATCAATTTTGGGGACGCAAATTAATATAATACAAGCAGCCACAAAAGAGTTAAAGAACATTCTAAAATTGTGAAGAGCCCATGCTTTGTTTCTTCAGTGTGCTACAAGACTTTTTAAAATTTTTTTTATTGGATATTTTATTTGTTTACAGCATAAATCTTATTCCCTTTCCCCTCCCTAGAAACCCCTATCCCATCCATCCTCCTCCTTTATGTTTTAAATACCATTTTAATTACATGCATATATTAAGGTCAGTTCTGGGTTGAAGGTCTAGCAATATAATAGATGCAAATAGACAAAAAAACAAGCAAAACAATAAACAAAAAAAGTCAAAGAAAAAGCAAGGCATTAAACCCAATTATGTGGACACTCCCATCATAACGGTTTCTAAGGGCTTATTAGGATGACCAAAGTACCTGAGCCTACTTCCCTGTCCTAGCCCAAGGTAATTTTCATGTCTGAAGCCTACTTCCTTGTTCTAGTCTAAAATTTAGAATCCTGTCTGAAATTACTTCTTTGTTCTAGCCTAATATTTAGATTCCTTTCTGAAATTGCTTGTACTGAGTATCTATTAAAACATTTAATGTGGATTTCTAATTGTAACCTAGGAATCTCTAAGCATTTTTACTATTTTTTCAGCTGTGCCCCAATGGCTACTATTTTGCAATCGATCCTAATGGTTATGTCTTATTGCATCCAAATCTTCAACCAAAGGTATGTATATAATTTGTTTATACTTACTAATGTTTAGTATAATTACTCACTAACATTAATGGGATTGTAATTTGAAAATTCTCTTTGTAACATTAAAGACAAAAGAACAGTATCCTGTGCCTCTCTTAAAGATTGCAAGGTTACTGATGACAACATATGAAAATCTGATGCATTCTTCATTTTCTCTGACCAAGCTAGCTTACCTACCTTTCTCAGGACAACCGTCATCATGTTTGAACCTCATTTCCTTGTGTGTCACATGCTACTTTAAGGATCTAAGAGGCTTTTGCTCCGGAGAGCATCTGACACATAGGAAGGACCAGTATAGTAATGGATAGTACAATGTCAAAGTTACCTTAATTCTTTCATCAGCAATTCATTAATATATTTAAAAGAAAGTAAGTTCTCTCTCCAGTGTCCATAACTATTTAATAAGGTAAAATAATAACACATGGGTTATGAAGTCAATATCATGATTTGTTCCTGTTACTATATTATTACAAAATATCTCAGTATAGTTTTCTACTTTATAGACAGCTCCACAGGTTTGCTTCAGAATATCAGTAAACAAACCAGTCACAAATATTTTGAGTATTTTTTCTTTAGAATTACCATTTTTAAAAGATGACCACATTTCAACAAATAGTGAATTATCTAATCTGATTGTTCTACCATAGGTCTTTATTTCTCTCATTAAAATAACAAGATTAGTTTTTTAGATATGCTATCTAATAAATAAGTAATTGTTTAGAAAATCGTATATAATTGATGTCCAAGAAATTAATAATCAAAATAGATCTAGCATTATGGTTAAATTCTCCTTTAGCATAATATCAGTTACTTCATTCTTTCAGATAACAAAATGTCAAATTTAAAATGTGCAAATTTTGTAATATCCTGATCTGTTACAGTCCACTCAGACTGTGATGGCAATGTTTTTAAATGTATAGACTAGTAGCTTCTAAACAATAAAACTTGTTTTACACCTTTTTGGGGGGTTTGAGAAGTGTAGCATGAGTGGGTTCAGTGTACGTTCCTCCTCGGCACACAATTTTTCCCTTTAACATCGCATGGTAGGAGGCTTCTTTTATATAAGCACGGATCCCATTGTAAACTGTTACCTCCATATCCCACTGCCATATCCCAAGGAGGCCCAAGGAGGCCCAACCTTCTTTTACAACCTCATCACCAAGGCAGGTTTGCTACAAAACAAACAAACAAACAAACAAACAAACACAAAAAAACACAAAAAAACAAGCCCAAAACACAACAACAAAACAGTTTTCAGGGACTTTTCCAATTTTATATACTATTTATTTGTATCATGCACATTTCAACAATATTTATTTTGCAATCTTTTTTGTTTCAGCCAAGAAAATTTATCTAGGACAAACTATCTCTCCCACTCTCCAATTTTTAGATTCTTAAGGAAAATCCAGGAAAAAAAATAAACATGTTCTTTAAAAATTTATTTTTACTACCATTGATAGTTTTGGGTTTCGTTGGTGTCTTGTTTTGCTTTGTTGTCATGGACTCTATGGTGCAAATATTTTGAATTGTGAGTACATCATTTGTTCTGTTTCTTGTCAAGGAAATAGTTGACTAGAGTTGACTGGAGGACTGAATGCTTATGTTAATATGTAGGATAATGAACTACCATTTTTCTATTGCTTCAGCCTATTGGTGTAGGTATACCAACAGTTAATTTAAGAAAAAGGAGGCCCAACGTTCAGGTAACTGTGAATGAAGGTAGACAGCAGCGCTTGCAAATTTGCTAAATCAGAGTTGGGGGTCAAGCTTCTGCTCTCAAAGCTTTCAAATGGGGGTGCCCTTCCTGACACCAAGCTTCTAGAGCATGAGGCGGGAACGAGCTTCCCTTCTAAGTGAGCCAAAGCAAAGTGTGTTAATTACGGTAAAAGGGCTGCTCTGGCTGAGAGGTGGCTAAAGACGTTTATCTAATAATAATGTTAATCAGAGTAATCACAATGAAATGGCTCCTCAGCAAATTTGTTATTAAATTTGGTGAAATTAATATCATATCCATGTTTTCCTAACAGTTTGCTTGATTTCTAAGTGCAAATGAACTCATGATTCTTGTGTTGTGATTCCCATGAATGAGAAGTTTTAGCAAAATTTTCTTTGTTTTGCTTTTAACTTCTAAAAATTGAACTTTGGGTGCTGGAGAGATGTCACAAAGGCTGAACACTGGCTGCTTTTCTGAGGGACTCAAGTGTGGTTCCCAAACCCACGTGGTGGCACACAGGCATCAGTAATTCCTATTCCAATGGATCCAACGCCTCCTTCTTGTTTCTTAGGGCAATTCACATACACAGTACTCAGAAACACATGCAGACACGGTACATACACACTCAAAAATAAGTACTACTAATACTAATAATAATAAATAATGATAAAATAATAAAAATGTTTTGTTTGTGATTAGAAGTTAGAGAATCTTTCCTCAACTAATTGAAAATGTTCAAATTTGGTAATATAAAGTGTTAATATTTGGTTTTTTGGAAAAATATTCTAAGACCCCTTTTCTATGTTGGTTACTTATATATGTATGCAAAAGATATTTAGCACAGAGGATATTCCTATAACTTATTCTTACAGATACAAAATATTAGAGAAAATTTAACATCATTGTAAGTTTTGGGAATAAGCCTGTCACTTCTTTTAAAACATATGGTAGAAGGCTACTGAATTGGCAGCGTTGCATTAAGTGATCATCTTTAAGTATGGATTGGTGGGACTGAGTTATAGTCTGGTTCTATTAGTTACCAATGCTCTATCTTTGAGCAGTACACTGTACCCTGTTGAACGCCAATGTTTTCATCTGAAAAGCAGGGAGGTCAACCAATTTCTCATTCTGCACCCCACCTGGGAAATTCAGTACACACAGTGATGCTATGCCCTACCCCTGAAAGTTCTCACTGAACACAGGCTCCAACGAGTTTTGAAGCTTCCCAACTGTTAAACAAATAAGTGTGACTGATGGAAGCTCTAGTTCTCTCACACAGCTAGAGTTCCATGGTAATCTGAGTCTTCTGTTGCTGTTATGCTGCGTAGAATCCTCTATGATTCCTGAAGAGGTTGCAATGATGTACATGCCTTTCTTACCTAGGAAGCAATTTTGTTCCTCTGCTTGCATGTTATTTTTGGAATTCCTTATAGTTTTTGTTGTTATATGCATTTTGGTAAATTTTATTTTACCACAACTATAAGTATTGCATGTAAATATTAAATATTTAAAAACAACCAACTTAAATAATGATTTTCTTTTTATTCTAAGCAAACTCTAAATGGCAAACTAGCAACCACATGAAACTTCTTAATCAGGGAAATATTTTTGAACTCTTAGGGATTATATTAATACTGACTCATAATTATTGCAAATTTAAAATTTGTTAATACCAATTCTGCTCTTGGTAATTATGCTAGTTGAAACTCATGCTGACGAGAAGTACTAGATGTTTAATATTTTTGTGATGGTCTCTCAGAGACCATCACACTAAAGATTTCTTCAAGCCCATGTTGATATTTTCATATGAGAAGACTGTGTTTTTTTAATTTTCTAGTTTGTATAATTTTAATGGATATTTCTAAAACAAGGCTCTGCCAGGTTGCCATTTACAAATACAAGTGATGCATTGACAATTGTCTTTTATGATTTCCTTTCTTCTCTGTCTTTATATGTTGGATTGGGACATGATCTGCATATTGTCAATTCCTCCTGATAATGGCTCCTCCCTGCATGCTGTTTGGGGCTGGTCATTCTATGCATTATCCATTGCATGTAAGAGAAATATTCCTATTTCCGTTTTATCATTTGATTGTTTTGACTTTGTTTTGCATTAGTTTCATCTTAATTTTAGTGTTTATATAATAGTGTTTGGGAGCATTTGTTGTGTCTTTTTATTAGGGAAGTTGCAAGTTTCATGGGCTTAACACACGTTCTCAATATTGACTTTTGTTTCCATCTTGCATCCACATTCAGATAAATATTTTCTCCTAGAGTGAAAACTGTCCATCCAAACAATGGTGTATTGTGCTGAAAAACCAATTACTTTCTTTCAATCGTATAGAAACTCTGGTTATATAGGCTCCTAAGCAGTGACTATTTCAAGCGTTTGTTGGGTACAGGGTCTATGGGTAGAGTCCTTGCTGAGCTAATGTGAGGTCCTGGACTCAATCCTTAGCTCTGTCACAAAAGACACAGATAGAGTATTTCAAACATTGTTACTTGAAGAATCCTTATTCATGAAACACCATGAAGGTCTAAAATTTGGAATTTTAAAAAATAGGAATATTCCCTGAAATAAGTCATTTGCATGGTTACAAAGTAAATTTGTCCCATGTGTACTATACTGTGTAATTCTTCATTTAAGTGAGATATGCAAATTGGACAGATTTTTGTCTGCTACTATTATGTTACGAAGCCTTTCACTTTAACATGGTGTTTAAATCGGTGCCAATACAGTGTCTTTTGCAAGCTCATGGTAAAATTTCTATCACTCTTCCAAGTAACTAAATATATACCTCATTGATTACTGGTGCCTAATTACAGCCAAATTTGGATGATATATTTTAATAAATATTTTAATGCTTACCTTTTAAAGTTTTCAATGATTTTGAAAAATTTATTTAAGTAGAATCTTTTGTTCTACGAAAGGTTGGATCTTTAATATGACATGCTATCTGATGTAGCAAGAATTAAAAGGAAGTGAGTACATTTTGCCTATCTAATGCCCTTATTTAATATTTGAGAAATTAAAATCACACCACATGAGATAACTTTAGCAAGCAAATAGTATCTCCTGAGATTATAAATAAATATTCTATCCTGTCCCACAGTGAGCTTTCTTACACAACAAGATGAGGCAGTGGATGTTAAAATGAGCAATGGTGTTTTTTGTACCCTTGGGGTCCATTTCTAGTCACTTGCTACCTTCAGTTGATAATTGATTGACAGTTGTCCATTGCACTTAAAGGTCACTGCCTAGCTCTCGAGGATGGTAAGTAATTTCTATAGAATTGTTTCATGCTGAATGTGCTTCAGAAACTACTATATACACGGCATTGTTTTCTAATTCCTTAACTATTGTGTTCTGTGTAGAACCCCAAATCTCAGGAACCAGTCACACTGGATTTTCTCGATGCTGAGTTAGAGAATGAAATTAAAGTGGAGGTGAGTGTGTGCAGTAGGCCTCAGCCAGAGACACATGACCAGAGCCTGCATTCCCATCTCATGATCATTTTTGAACAATGATTTACATCAATCGGTCTCTCCTCGATCACACTGATACATTCTTTGTCATGAAAATTATGTATGTCCTGGACTTTCTTCCAATAATTTCTATTGACAAAGAATAGAAACTTCAGGTTAGTTGTAGCCTTAGATGTTTTTCATTTTCTTGCTCATTCCAAAGGGAAAGTTATTTTTAAATGTACAAAACAATGATGATTTTAATAAAATTCATAGTGACCAACATGCTATGCTGTTGAAAGAGATGTTGGAAGGGTTCCAGCTACCCACCTACATAAGGAGCCATGTGAGGAAAGCAGCTGCAATGCTTGTCTGAAGGCACTTACCAGGTTTCTGTTGTATTTCAGCACAGTCACATGTCACTTCCTCTGCCAGGGTCTTTGATAATAGTAAAGATAGTTTTGTAATATCAAAACAGAAATTATTAAGTTCATAGTTACTCTGGAGTGGGCACAGGGAGTCCTGGCATGTCTCCGGAGGTTTCTTTAAGGCTAAGGTAATGAGGAGGAGGTCAGGAGTTGCAGTCCCTCTGGGTCACCATAGCGACTACACTCAGTCTCTCAGAGTCTGCTTCCCTGCAACATAGTGACAGAGAGAAATGACACATGACGAGCTTAGGGAAAGCATGTGCACATAGGAAAGTTTGCTTATTCTTAAAGTCAACCTCTTAGTTTTCACCTTCAAACTGAAAATATTTTAAACAAATTAGACCCATCCTATATTTTACAGATTTCTTTAGTCACACCAAGTTTTTCCACTCACTGATATTTATTAAAGCCCAAAGGTCATGTTCTAGAAATATTTAAAATAAAAACCAAAGGAAATTCTTTGTTTCCAGTGGACTGGAATGGTTTCCTATGAATCTGATCTGGATTCCTATTAGTTTGACTTTTTAAGGAGCTGGAAATTTATATAGAGAGGACACTATGTGATATGAAATCCTACTAGGTCTTTACGATTATCTGTTATTATATAATTGTATGGAACTGTTACAGATGACATAAAATAAAATAAATTACAAGGGGTAAGCCAAGTGTAGGGTTCCTGTAACCCCAGGACTCTGAGAACAGAGCCATAAGGACTCTGCAAGGTTGAAATCAGCCTGGACTGTGAGGTGAGTCCCATGGCTGCCGGCATGACCTGGTCTGCAAAACTAAGAAACAATATCAAAACATAAAGGGTAATTCTGAATCCTTTGTCACCAAGAATTGGTCATTTAGGTGAGGAAGAATTTGAAGTATTTCACATCCCATGTTAATCCTGTGAAGAGACATACATTTTATTTCTCGGTATCCACATCTCACTGGAATCTCCTATGCTTACCAAGCAACTGTGACTCCTTTACTGTTATAGTTCTAAAATTTCAGAGTGAAGAACAAAAAGTTCACTAAGGATATTTTTCTTATTGCACAATAATGGAAAATGGTTACAATTTGACAACTTTAAAAATTCTAAATAATCTCATCTAGTGTGTAACCATTCAGCCATTTTTATTAAATTTCACTGAAATAAGGAAAAATCTTGATAATGAATAGTTTTACAATATTCAGTAGGTCGATTTGTTTCCTGGAATAAAGTAATTGATCCATTTTCTCTTAGATTCGACATAAAATGATAGATGGAGAAAGTGGAGAAAGAACGTTCAGAACTCTGGTCAAGTCTCAAGATGAGGTAAGAATTCATTAAGGCTTGTTCTTAAGTGGAAGTAGCCATTACATAAGACGCCTTCTCTAACTAAACAGAGAAGGGGGAGATGCCAGAAGCCAGGACCCTCGCCCTTACCCTTACCCCCTACCTTTCCCCACCTGCACAATGTCCTCTGAAGCTTGGCAACTGCAAGATCCTGCTTGGCAACTGCAGATAGACTCAAAGCAGAGTACCATGTCTTCTGAAGAATAGCAGGGAGACCATAACTCAAGCAGTGTACCATATCTTCTGAAGAACTGCAGGTAGATCATAATTCAAGGCAGTGTACCGTATAGACCATGACATGTTTCAAGGCACAGGCCAAGAAGATTTTGTACTTTTCCACCACCTGGACCCTCTTACCCCCTCCCCTTGTAAAACATGCTATAAAAAAGCATTTCATGTTCAAAAAAAAAAAGAAATTAAAAAAAAAAAGAAAAAAAAAGAATACTGATATTGGTAATTTAACATTCCTTTCAGAAATTATTTTTAAAATAAGGATCCATCTAGTGAGCAGATTTCATTCCTACATTAAAAGGCTATATTCATAAAAAAGAAAACCTATATTCTTACACTAGAGAGAAGACTTAACAATTTACAAACACTTGTCGCTCAGTTGCGAGATCTGGAGTTCATATTCCAGCCACCTTGTTGACAGGCTCTGAAGAGCCTGTAACTCAAATTCTAAGAGCTCTCTGCTGTCCTCTTCCAATTCTGCATGTACCTGCACATGTGAGCACATATACTCTCACACAGAGACATATGCACACATATATATATACACACTCACACATACACAAATATGTGTAAAATAAAGCTATATTTAGTGTAAATATGCTTTATTGTTTTAAGAAATATATCTCTTTAGGCCAGAGCTGTGGTAATATTTAACTTAAGTAATGTTATATGATACATTGTATTATTTGTGTGCACAGATGTTCTAGAGATTATTATATGTGCTTTATGTTGTTTTACTATTTATACCATTCTACCATTTTTAATTTTCCTACACTTATGACTGAAAATAAGTCATGTGATAACACAACTACCCTCATTCACTAGTATATATAATAAATTGATACTGATTCGTGTCTGAGTGTAAGAGAGTTTTAGATGAGTGGATACTTTCTACCCATTATCAGCCATCTGTGAAATGAAGACATTCACATATTTGAATGTTCAGAAATATATAGGATTAAGATGTTTTTGTGTGTGTTAGTTTAATTGCAACATTTGCATATAATTTGTATTTTTTACTCAGAATTCTGTATGTTTTAGCATCATCTTTTCTTCCTAATTTCTTGGCAACTCTTCCCCTAAAAGGAACATACCACCTAAATGTTTTCAACAGCACAGATCATTTTTTATTTTGATATACTTATGAGGTTTAATTATCAGAAAAGGAAAGGAAGTATTAAGATTTTCACTTTTACTGAAATGTTAACTCTCGTTGCCTCTACTTGAGCCATGGTCTTTACCCTTTGCTTCCGGAAGCAAGGATATAAAGTATTTAACAGTTCTGCCAATCCCTCCATGTTGTTCCAAGAATTCTGACTTTCACATTCTTTCTGCAGCTTAGAGCTCGCTTTCACATGGCTAATTCCTCTCTTCCGACTTATTGTCAACTCAGTCTTTGAGCAGTATTCACCTAGGAACCACATGTGTCTGTCTTAGACATTTTATGTTTTCTCTTAAATGAGCTGTTGTAGGCAGATACATTTGCTAGTCATCTGTTACAATAGTGCTTCTCTTGAAAACCTGTTATTTAATTTTGAATCAGTGTAACTTTTTTATTTTAAATGTCAGGTTTATAAAAATATCAAAACAATTATATACATTATGTTGACTTTTTCATTATTTAATTTTTTTATTCATAATAATTTTTTTCTCACATAATATATCCTGATTGTGGTTGCCCCTCTCTCTTTTCTTCCCAGATTTTGCCCCCTCCTACCCAGGTCCATTCTCTTTGTCTCTCAGAAAACAAACAGGCTTCCAAGGACTTATAATATGATAAAACAAAAACTAAGACATTAGGCTAGGACAAAAGCAAACAGAAGAAAAAAAGACCAAGAAAAGTTACAGGATTGAGAGACCAATTTGTTCATACAGGAATCCTGTCAAAATACTAAACTGAAAGCCATAATATGTACCTCCCCCTAAATATATATGTATATATGTATTTGTATATACATATGTATGTGTATATATTTACATTATATACTATATATTTTAATTATTATATTATATATTACATTATGTTATATACATGTTATATGTTGTATAGAATACATTGAATATTATATATTATGTATAATATATACAATTATACAATAAATTTATGTATAATATATAATATAGTCATCATTACTTATCATATATTATAGTTACATATATAATATAATCATAATATATAAATATAATATATAATGATATATACAATATTGTATGCTATATATAGAATATTATGTATATAATAAAAAATAAAAGTAAGATAATTAAAAATACCTTTGAAAATACATTATGAGACATGGTACCTCCTAATATTCCATTTTATTTCATTTTCTATTGGACAGCTACTGATGGACATGCAGCCTACCTTTAAGAGTATTTTGTTTCCCCAGTGAGACTCCCTTAGAGAAAACTAAATTTTCATTTGCAAGTGATTATCAGATGGAAATAGCTTCTGGTTCAGGGATTGAGGCACATGTCCATTTCTTTCAGCTTCACAACCCCATGTGGTACAGTCCTGTGCAGGACCTGTATATGCTGTGCTCCCAAATGGCGATTCTGTTGATTTGGATAGAGTCCTTTCTGTCCGTGATATCCTCCATGATGTTTAGGGCTTAGTGTTTCTGAGTCTGTCACTCTGCATATTGTCTAGCTGTGGGTCTCTGTATTCATTGCTATGCTGCAGGAGGAAGCTTTTCTGATGATTGCTGCATGAAGCACTGATCATTGAGTATAGCAGCGTGTCATTAAAAGTATCTTTATTGCTACATACCTTTAGTAGAACAGTAGTATTTGGTTTTACTCTAGGTCTCTGAGCAGTGTTGGAATGGGTTGTACCTCATGGAGTGAGCCTTCAGTCAAATCAAATATGGGTTGGTTACTTTCACAAGCTTTGTGCCACCATTGCACAAGCATGTCTTGGAGGCTGGGCACTATGTAGATCGATGGTTTGTGGATGGTTGATGTTTATGTTTTCCTTTGGTAGCTTGCGGAGAACCTTCATGTACCAAAGTCACTAGCAAGTAGAGGTGAAGTCTCTATGGAGATACCAGTGCAACGTCTCCAGGTTCAATGGGTTATGTAGGTGTTCTATGCAACAGTGGGGACTTGCTGTCAGTATTTAGAAAGCAACAGCCTGCGTTGTTTGGGGTTTCCATGGGCCCCTTTGACCAACAACTTAATTAGGTGTAATTCACTTACAGTCTTGGACAAGAGCTGTCCAGTAGGGTTTTGTCTTTCTAATTATTTGGCAATACCGTTTTCATGACCATCATATATGTATAAATTTTAGGACACCTTTACTATATCAGGTTTCCACACTACTATCCAAATGGCCCTGAATGTTAGCTGTCTCATATACCCACCATTATTCCCCCTCTTCCTTCTCCCTCTCCACTTGATCCTTGAGCTCCACCTCCCTGCATCCACCCATCTCTATTCTACCTTCCTTTCCTAGGGAGATCTATGTGTGCCTGCTAGCCCCATACTCTATAGCTGACCTGGTGGTTGTATGGATTGTAGCCTGAGTTACCACTGTTTTAGCTGCTAATATCCACATATAAGTAAATATATACTATACTTGTTATTTCAAGTCTGGGTTGCCTCACTTTTGATGATTTTTTTTCTAGTTCCATCCATCTACCAGCAAATTTCATAATTTTATGATTTAATGATCGAGTAATATTCTACTGTATAAATGTATCACATTTTTTTATCCATTCATCTGTTAAGGGATATCTTTATTGTTCCTAATTTCTGGCAGTTATGAATAGAGCAGCAATGAACATGGTTAAATAAATGTCTTTATGATAGGAAGAAGTGTCTTTTAGACATATTCCCCAGAGTAGTATAGAAGGATCTTAAAGTAGATAGATTCCCATCTTTCTAAGAAACTACCACACTGATATCCATAGTGGCTGTATAAGTTTGCAGACACACTAAAATCAACAGTATAGGCACCCCATGAATCTAAAAGGCTTATGCCATCATTTGCATAAAGCAGCATCCTACAGAATGGAAAAAGTATTTTACCAACTATACATTTAATAGAGGGCAAATTTCTAAAACATATAAAGAACTCAAAAAATTAGACATCAAGAAAATAAGTGATCCAACTAAAGAATGGCAGTTCATATGTAAACAAAAGATTATCTAAAAAAGGAACTCAAGAATCCGAAAAACACTTAAAGAGATGTTCAAACCTTCTTAGTCATCAAGGAAACGCAAATCAGAACTACTTTGTGATGTCATCTTACTCTCACCAGAATAGGAAGATCAAAAGCACATATGAGAGCTCCTCCTGGAGAGGATATGGAAAACTCCTCCATTGCTGGTGGGACATTATTTTGATTTTAAAATGATATCTTTGAACAAATTATATCTGTGCTTACCTTATGTAATAGCTGGCAGGAATATTTAAGTTCTCATAATGACTTTTAAATTACAATGCTTTAAGTCTGTTTTTACTCAAAGTTTCAGAACCCCTCAGACAACAATCAGATAATAGTGAAGTCCAGTATTTCTTATAAGAAATTGCTTAATTTTTCTTTGAGCCATTTTTTACACCTATTAAATAGGAAAGTTAAATGTTAACACATATCAGCATGTGGTGGCAGGTCATTTTGTTTCTAGGTCTGTGCCCTATTTCTCTTTACAGGGAATAATGAATATTTTTCATGACATCTGTCTTGGGTTGATTTGTAGAGTTTTTCTTATTTATCTCTATCAGGAATGAGGTTATTTTTTAATAGGGCAAATGTTCAAAGTAAGTCAGAAATTAAAGCTACATGTGTGTAAATAATCTACCTAGTAGAAGAAAGGGTGTGTGTTTACTATTGTTCTATGATACAAGAGGTATTGTAGATCCATGAACTGTTTCCTTAACAATGCATTTTGTCTAAGGAATATAGGTATTTTTCTCACCTTCAATGATGGTGTAGTTATCTATTTATAACAACATGATGGTTCCATTCAAAGGCTTTGTGAGATATTACTTTCAGATGTAGGAAAGCTAATATTCCTCCTCATGTCTGCCATCATTCTTAAACATGGTCTATTATGGTTGATATTTGTCTAATATTTTATAGTCCTGTTTCATTGTTAAATTTGGTTTTAATTTAAATCTTTAAGAGTTCTGAATAAAGTACTTCATTATAAAATCCAAGCCTTTATGCTTATAAATCCCTAACCAGTATCATTTGAGTACTTAGTTCTGTTCCAAATTTTTACTTAACAAGCATACACAACATTTTAAAAATGTATAATAGAGTATATCTTTCACTTGTTAAAAAGGATGTTGAATGAACACAGAATATTGAGGTGGACATTATAGTTTTACTTTTTCTATAAATTCATATAGAAAAGGGATGTAATGACCATATTTAACTTTCTTTCTAGAGATATATTGACAAAGGAAATCGAACATACACATGGACACCTGTCAATGGCACAGATTACAGGTATTTAGCTATATTTGCAAATGTCTTGTATAAAGGACTATTCAATTCAATGCACTTTCTTCTAATATTTTGTAGCCAGTTTTCAAAGAGAAGTATGAATTCTTGACTTAGCTTTATTCATTGGTTATTTCAGTGGAAAAAGTATTCTCTGCAACAGAAAAAATGAATTACATAATCTGGCTTTTAGAATGCAATTCAAAAGGTGGAAAGTAGCTAGCAGTCAAATATTTAGAAATGACAAATGTACTTAATGACAACAGTAATAAAAAAATTGACATAATCCCCATAATAATTTAATGCCTTCCATTGACTTCCTCTTCTATTTCAATTTAGCTTAATAGTTTTCATTAATGTTTTGGCTTAGCCTAAAATTAATAGTGTGCTTTCTTTCATCATAATATGTTTTATAAAGTGTTAGCCACACTGAATAGTTTAATAATGTCTAGCTCCCACCCATTTTCTCATCTTTACAACCTAGACAGTACAATCCTCAGTAATCTGTTAGATTGATTCCCTTTTTTCTTCAAAGTCAGTATCTTTCTATTCTACTTCTCTCTTTGATTTTTCATGACAAGGTTTCTCTGTGTATCCCTTGGCTGTCCTAGAACTCACTTTGTAGACCAGGCTGTCCTTGAACTCAGAGATCTGCCTGTTTCTGCCTCCTGAATGCTGGGATTAAAGGTGTGTTCCACCGTGCCAAGCTACTCTACTGTCTTGCCTGAAATCTCAGTTTCCAGCTTACTCTTTGGCCCTGTATCCCACATTCTTGTAATAGTAAAATGTTTCTTCTTGTTATTTGGAAATTCTCATTTTTGAATTTCATATCATCAAACCACACTGTCCATCTAGCCTTCCCTCATGGTATGAGACTCTCCTCATTCTTCCTCATTTTCACCCTCCTACATTCACAGAAATCTATATTGTGTCACTATTTAAGACATATCCATGTGTAAAGTAAAGCAAGAGGCATTTGCTAAAATACATATTAAATACACTAGGAACAGCAGGTCAATCGTTTATCATTATATTCCACACACTTAGCGTTAGTCTCTCAAGTTCTATTCATGCTTTCTGAAAGCTTATTCATGAGCTATCTTGTTTTATTCACGGGCTAATAACAGGCAATTGGCAAATGGCAGGGTCTGTAACCCACACTTCTGTAGTACTAAGAAAGGTGACTTTCCATTTCTTAATGGCCTCTTTTCTACTGAACTCATCATCTCTTATGTAGACATCTTGTCTACCACAGCTTTATATCCTTCAAATAATGTCCAATACCACACTTCACCTATCCCTGACAGCGTTGAGTCAGCCATGTTAGTTTTACTTCAGTGCCGAGGCTATCTGGGGTCTGGCTGTTTTAATTGCAATTGTTCCCCTCAACTCTTCCCAGACCCATCTCCCACTTCTCTAACCATCCAATGTATTCTTGGCTGTGTTACCTTTCCATAGAAGTATGATAGTCTTGTTAGGGGCTACACTCCTAGAAAATGAATGTGGGAAATGCCTTTCCCACAGCAACCATTCTCTAATAACTCTAGACTGGGCCTGGGGTTATGTGCACATCTCCCCTCCTCTTGCTGGGGCTTTGTCTGCCTTGTGCTTGCCCAGCTATTGTGCATTGTGTGGAACTGCTCTAAGTTCCTGTGCGCAGGGGAGCCTAGAAAACAGTTTTCCTGTAGTCATCCACCACTCCTGGCTCTTACTGCTCACTCTTTTACATTGATCACTGAGCCTTAAGATGTAATACAGGTATTCCATTTAAGGCTGAACATCCTGAAATCTTATATTCTCTGCATCACACTCAGTTGTGGGTCTCGGTGATAATCACAGTCTGGCACAAATAGAGGCTTCTCTGAGTAAGGTTAAGAGATGTATTAATCTGTAGGTATAAGTCACCAGTAATTGATTTAATGTTCTGTATATTTCACAAAATAATAGTAGTGGGTTCTCCTCCTGGGGCCAATGATCCATCTATTCATTGACTCTTACCCCCAAAATGGTGCAAGGTTTTGATTTCATCTGGAGTGGGCCTAATTCCCAAACAGAAAGTGGTTGATGACCTCCAGGTTGTTCATGCCACCATTACATGCATGGACCTATCTTGCCAGCCAATCATTCCTGTAGCTTATAATGTTCACAGGTAGGTAGGAGTTGGGAATTGTTTCACAAATGGCCTCTTTGCTCAAAATTTCCTTACCACATCCAGGAGCAAGGCACAGTGGGAGTAATGTTCTTTCCTCAAGTTGAGTGTCACTCTTTACTCACAGGTATTCCATGAGGACTTTTGAGAACGCGGTTGATGCCACCCATTTCCTTCTTTCTTTTTTTATTAATCATTTTATTCATTTACATTTCAAATGATGTCCCCCTTCCCATTTACCCCTCCACAACCTCCTCATCCCATCGCCTCTCACCCTCCTCCCCTTTGCCTCTATGAGGGTGCTCCTCTACCCACCCACCCATTCCCGCACCACCGCTTCAGCATCCCCCTACACTGAGGCATCGAGCCTCCGGACCTCCGCAGGACCAAGGGCCTTCCCTCCCATTGATGTCAGATCAGGCCATCCTCTGCTACATATGCAGCTGGAGCCATGGGTCCCTCCATGTATTCTCTTTGGTTGGTAGTTTAGTCCCTGGAAGCTCTGGGTGCCACCCATTTCTAACCCAGCCTGTCTATTCTGTCATTTTGCTGCTTCTGTAACACACTGTGCTCTGAAGGAGCCATGGTATCCTTACTTTGCATGCTTTCCTTACATAGCCCTGTCCCAGTCTCTAATGTTGGCCTTAATTACATGCATGTCCTAATGTCTGGGTAGATATATTCACAAATAATAAAAAAGTATCATGTTCTACCTGAAGATGTATGATGTGATTAAGTGGCATGCCAGTTTCAGACACAGGTGGTTTCTGTTTTCCTAAACATAGGTGATACATTTTAAAATATATAAAAAAAAGACTTCTTTTACGGGAATGCGCTATTTTCTAAAGAACCATACTTTGAGGGGATAAACAATTCGAGTTGGAAACTGTGTTATAGTCCATTTAATTCATTTACTACATTTATGTGCACCACCAAACTATTGCGTGGTCTCCATCATCCGTCCCGTGTCACTTGCTTTATTAAATGTAGTCTCTGAGGGAAAATAAAGAAGCCTTGTTGTATTGGGTTCCTGTTAGGAGCTCAAGTAGTCTTTGCATTTGACAGCATCATTGCCTTGGAATGTTGGGAAAGATCTTACCTGCAGTATGTGGAAGAAACAACTGTTGGGTTGACCTGGAACTAGATATAACTATTTTTCTACAGAATGATTTGTGACTGTGAGTAACACTGTCAGTCTTACAGGCCAATACATCATGCATTTAATGTGCCAATTTTAAACCTTCCATTGTAATCCTCCTGAGTTGTTACACCACTTCTAGTGGTACATACCATGTAACTGAAGTTTACATGGAGACACTGTAGCCTTCGTACGATATGGTGTTATCAGCTTTAATTAGAAGTTCCTGATGATGATAAATGCTGATGGAGCAATAAAAATGCCCAGTTCCCCTTGAGAGGGATTTGTAGCAGGCAGTTTTTAAATATTTTTGTTCTTCTGTAAATGGCAAGTGGATCATGAAAGGTCATCTTGCTTTCAGAATAGTTGCATTGCTTATTTTAATTTTAATCTCTGCTTTCTCTTGAAGTTATCTATAAAATAAATGCAGAAATTTTTATTAAATCTACATAACATTTTAGTTTCCCGACCTTTTCCCATAAGCAGAGTCTATGAATTACTTAATGATGGTGAAAACTTTGTGAATTGAGGGTAGCAAGCATGCAATTGGTTTTGTTGTCTTTATTGCAAAATTAAAGTTTTGGAAGTAGACCTTTGCATGTGAACATGTATTCAGAGAAATTTTAACATTTACATTCATGAGATAAGTCTGAAATTTTCTATTTTGTTGTGTTATATATTGTCTATCAGTAACATGTAATAACATTATAGTTTGGATTTCTATTCTTATATGTGTAGATACAGATGACTTAAAGGATCTATCTACAAGTGCCTAAAAATATTCAAATTCCTAGACAGGAACATACTTTCTGGCCTTTCAATAATATTTAGGGTAATGTGAAAAGCATATTAACCAAGAATTACTTTTTGTGCACAGTTTCATTGGCTATCTCATAAATACTCGTATTTCTTGCATCCATTTACGTTCAAGGCATATCAAATATGGATAAACATCATTCCTTTTTCTTACGTGTGCATATTAGCTAAGTTAGGAAGAGAAGTCTACTTCCAACAACTGCCTAATCTGAATTACAAGCTCTAATATAGTCAACAAATGTTCTATGAATTAGAAATTTCTAAGAGTGTGAGGTTACCTACCTGACAGCTTCTTGGGAGTGATCGTTTCAAACAAGGTGAGTGTCAGGCTTGCTTAACACTCTTTGTGACTAAAACATTTTGAAGTTGACCTAAGATTCCAGTGGAACTGTCCTTTGGTTAGGACATCTACCATGAGACTAGATTGACTTCATGACTCTTAATTCTACTAAACTCAAGCAATCCTTCCTCTGTACATAACAATATACTCAATCATGTGGCATGTTTGTATTAAATCAGTTGTCCAGTGAATTGTACAAGTGGCTATGAAGCAAGCAAACAATTTCCATAAAAGGTCAGAGTCTGTGCACATGCAGACACTAGGGGTCTTGCCATAGGAACAGAGCTTTAAAACAGTAGGTATTGAATCCCTCTAAAGAGTGTATTGCTGTGCATTGTATGTTAGTGGCAATGTTAACTCTTTAATTTTTAATTATGATTGGTTCAAAACATTCAACATTGCGTATAATAAAGAGGGTATATCTAACTGGTATGATATTTTCTTTGTTTAAATTTAAATCTTATTATTATTATTATTATTTTTGCCCAAATCTGGAACATGTAATGACAGTGTCTGGAAAAGGTCCCAGGGATTCAAGGCATTCCTCCTCAGCTACCTTATGGCTGAATTAGGTAGCTTATTACTTCCTTGCCTCTTAATTCTCTGTCCTATAGAGAGCTGGATGACACTGTTTAGCAAGGTGGAAATTAAGAATTCTATTTGCTGAATGCATTCACATGTCAGAGTAACATGTCCTCTCCTCATGAGGAAGGTCTTCGGATTTTCCCATGAACTTGATGTGTCTTTTTTTTTTAAGTTATGTTTCTTTTTTGTGTGTTTGTGTTTATGCTTCTCTTGTTTCTATTGCAGTTTGGCCTTGGTATTGCCAACGTACAGTTTTTACTATATAAAAGCCAAAATAGAAGAGACAATAACTCAGGCCAGATGTAAGTACTGTGAAAGCAACTTCAGGGTCTATTTCTTATCTCCTAGTCTCAGATGTTTATGCCTAGACTTTGGAATACCTAAGCCTTATACATTTTAGTAGGTATTATTATCAAGTCTACAGCAATGATTCTAACCCATTCCAAACATGCAAGGAACAAGAAATATTCTACATGGATAGAATATGAGCAGGTACTCCAGTCTCACTGGCAGTCCGACTACCCTTCCCTGCCTTGCTATGTGCTCAGAGAATCATTGCAGAGCTGTCTCCTCTGTGCCTGTCGTTTTAAGGGTCTGTGAGCTGGCATGAAATGTTTCACATGCTAATACCAACATAGTCTCTGCTCCTGGTGCTGTGCTAGCAAAGCTTTTCCTTTACTTATCTTACCTTTTTATTTATTTATTTACTTATTTATTTATTTGTTTATTCATTTATTTACTTACTTTTTTTGCATTTGGCCAAAATAATGTTGTGCTTGGCAATTAGCTTTCTTCTTATAATCCAAATTAGATGTCTCAGTAACTCAAATGAATTCACCGCTAGGCATCCTTCGGAATGTGGAGTGATTAACATCGGTGCTATTTCAAGTTGTTGTTAAGTTTTATTTTGTTTTGGATGGCTAGATTTAGTTAACCAAAATGACCATCATATCCTTTGTAAAACAATCAATGTATACCAGCAACATAAATGTTTTTCTGTTAGGATTCAGGACAGAAATACATATATAGCTTTTACTGGCTTCCATCATTTTCCTGCCTGATCTTTTGCTCTTTGCAGCAATGATAGACACTTCTGTATTGCAGATGATTAAAATATATATTTTTTCACTCTCATGTAATAGATATGATGGTCTTTTAACAAGCAGCGATTTTGCATGAGCTAGTTCTTTATGTGATAAAGGAGGGGATGACTAGTGAGTCTTTGCTGACTGGGAAATGCTTCTGTTCAGAGCTGGCATTTTTGATACTGCACCCACATCAACCACTCTGCCAAAACAGACCCTTGAAATAGCCACAGTACAGAGAGGGGAAAAATAATAAAGTTGTCAGGGCATACCTTCCAGCCTTCAAAAATACATGTTTTTTTTTTTCCAAACTACAGCTGTACATAAATGGACCTTTGATCTATGCACAATATTTTTATTCACAGTCACTGAATAAAATATTGTTTGTGACCCCTTTACTTTACCCTCTTTTTTTTTGTTTCCCTGCTTTCTCTTTCTGATGGATTTACAGCAAAAAAGGGGAAAATGAAGGGCAAGTATTTTCTTGTTGCTCAATTTCTTTCTGTTTAGTATGCAGCATTTCCACTAATATTTTCATTCCTACTGGATATTATCCTCTGTGCTTCATGGTTGCTAGAATTTCCTCCATGACTTCCTGAAAGTTGGCAGCAGAACAGGGCAGGTGTGCCTGTGTTTGCTCATGCAACCTGTCACACTCAAGTCAGTTTCAATTTTCATTTTAGACTTAATATCATGTTTCTTTTTACATCTTTCCACCTACTAATTCATACCTATCATAAGATTCTTATTACTTAACTAAATGCATGAATGAATTCATTCAAAGCATTTTATCATAATGTTGATAAAATTCTGCATTGATATTTTAAACAAAACACTTGCTATATGACTAATAATTTAAGATTTTAAGATATTTAAATGTATTAGAATTAGTAAATGGAAAAGTATGAGTAGAATTTTATGTCAAATTACTGCTATGATTGTCTGTGATATTTACCCATATTATGATCTTATTATGTTGGAAAACATTGAGAATCTTGTCAGTTAATTTGTTTCACCTTTGGGATGTAAGTAGTCTGTTTACATTTTTCTAACTAGGAAGTCTTTTAACGCCTTTATGTTGTCATGGACCCTTGAAGCATATGCTCTATGTTGTTTATCTAATCTTATATCATTACGTTTTCAGATTCAGAAACTCTGAAGCCAGACAATTTTGAAGAATCTGGCTATACCTTCATAGCACCAAGGTTGGTTGTGTTCAGATTTTCTCTGTAATAACTCACATCGTTAGCTCTGTTGTTTAAAAAAAAAAAAAATCCTAAATTGGGATCAAGATTACTCTAGCTTCATTCTGGGTTAAATTATGGAACCAAAGGGATAATAACTTTAAAGCTTCCAATATCCTATGTAGTCATTAAAATACCTGCTATTTGTTTAAGTACTTGTAGAGCAATTGCTATGGATGGAGCGGTGTGAGAACTCAGGTGAACAGTGGCAGATGGGACGGAGAGGGTTATTCTGCTGGAATACACAAGTGCTTCTGGTATTAAAGAATTGTCTGCTGGAGGTTGTATAGTTTATACTTATTTAAGCGCAAAGGTACTCCATGTGTATAATTATCTTATGAGCATATATACAGATACATATGTATATATATGTAAGTCTTCACCTAAATATGGAATGTTTTAAGCTCGTAATGACATTTTTATATACTTGACAAAGATTTTTATTGGAGAACAAATTTTTGTTATATGTATGCATTGGAAATTTAGCAGTATGCATGTAACAGGCAACCTACTTTGGTAGTAAGTTTTTGCCTTTTGCCTTTTTAAGGTTGATAATGCAAACCATTGATTTTAAACCCAGGGCATTATCTCCCACAGACGGTTGGATCAGTCATTGTCATTGGTCCTGATTGCTTCCACTAGCTCATCCAGAGCACACTTTTGTCTTCTGAGTTCACCTACGTGAGGCAATGGTGCCCTATCTCTTCTCATGGACCAGATATCCCAGCCTGGCCTTCTTCCTCTTTATCATACAGTTCAGGACCCCATCTTGCAACACAGCAGGCAGAAAAAAACACCAGCTTTATGAGGTCTACGTAATATGCAACCAGTGCCAGCTTGGCTTGTTTGTTCTCCTCAAAGTAGTGACAGTTTTGATCCCAGATCTAAGCACAGACGGTCTCTTAGTAAGGATATTCCTTTTGCTAGCAGCTTTCTTGGTGTAGACCTACTGCCTCTTTCTCTTCAGCTACTTTGCGTCTTGCCTGTACAACCTTACTTAAGGGCAACCTTAAGCATCTAGGCAGTTGATGGTCCAGAGCCTAGGTGAACTGGTTAATTTCAGGAGATACTTGGAACAAGTCATAATGGATAGCCCCTTGGAGCAACAGTATGTTTTATTGAGGCCATTGACAAAGTGGGTTAGATCTCTTTGGGGTTGGATATTCTGTCCAATGGCAAAGGTCTTAGGTCATTTTTTCAAAACAGAGGATTCACAAACATTTTGTCCTCTTGCATCTTTTTGATAGTATGGATCTAAAGTCACATTTTTCCTCTTGGTTTGTTTTCATACTGTCTCATGCAGCAGGAGGGGAAGAAAAATGTATTGCCTCATGGTGTGTGTGTGTGTGTGTGTGTGTGTGTGTGTGTGTGTATTTGCATGTAGGTGATTAAGCATGTGCATCCAGGGAGGCCAGAGGTCGTTCAATATTACTTTCCACCTTGTTCCCAGAGACAGGGTCTTTCATTGAATCCGAAGCTGAAATCTCTGCTAGCCTAGATAAAGAAGCTCTTGGGATCTCCCTGTCTTCCTCTTCCAACTCTGAGATTCCAAGTATGCTTAGCAATGCCCAACCTTATCAGATAATTTTCATTTGAACATATCTTACTAATCCTTTTAATTTTCCTTTAATCTAGGCTGAAATATCTAAAAATTTGAAGATTCCATTATTATTTTTTCTGTTGCACTCACGCAGAAAATTTTCACAGTACCTAAACAGGGTTCCTAAAGTTATTCAGAGTTAATCCTTTATTTCTGCAAATTAAAATTACTAAATTCTGCCACTATTTGAAAATTGGTCATATGTGTAATGTTTTGAAAAATCACAATTACCAAAGCTGTTCCTCAGCTTTGAGAGAGTTTCTCCTTCATTTGTGCTGTGGGCAGAGTTGCACATCTCCTCCATCCTCTTTGATCTCTCCCGTGATGTTCCACTGTTCTAATTTTCTTATCCCTATCCAGCTGCAGATGCAAGAACCTTGAATCATGAACCTTAGCTCTACCTTTCACAGAGAAGGTGCTGAGAACCAAGTTTACCTAGGCTCTTGTCTAATGTGAGTCCATCATTAAGCCACAAGCCGTGCATTAATTCTTCATCTACAAGTTGAGGTGATGTCTCCCAAATCTAAAGTGACACTCCTAACTGCTAGAAACAACAGGGGCAAGTGGCTTGGCTTGTTGACACTGCAGTAGAGGATGGGACACATCTCTTGCCGGTCTTTGTCCTCCCTCGTATTTCCAAATAAGACATTCATGTGTCAGGAAAGCCTAACAGGAATATTTCTTCAATGTGCTTCCAATTCAGAGTCTTGTAAATATTTGTCCCACATGGAAGCTCTACTTGTGTTGCTTTTACGAAGAAATATAATTTTTCCAGTGTACAATTTTGAGACATGTTAGTTGTCCTGGTCTGCTCCCTTTTGTTGATGCCTAACTGATCCCTGACCCTTGCCAGTTCTATCTTAGGATCTATATATATCTTTGTCACTCTCTAGCTCTTTTGCTCTAGTGCAGGCCAAGGCCTTTTTGTGCATAAAGCAGTATCTGAATGGATCTCACATTTCCTCCATTCACTCCCACTTACCAACCCCATGACAGGAGAGCTTTTAACCTGTAAAGGCATCTTTCTCAACTGCTAATTACTAACCAGCAGCTCTGCATTGTTATGGTGATTATCTGGGTTGTATTCCACAGCTTTCAAGTGTGCTGTCACCAGGGCTCAGGGTTCTCTTGTGGTTCCCTTTACTATAAACTAGGAGCTTGCAGACTGGCTGTTTATTAAAGTGCAGAAAGTCTCATTTTCTTATGTACTGTTTCTGGCAGCTACACTATCATTCTAGTTTGATTACTGCTGCTGTGTAAAGAACTCTGACCAAAAGCAACTTGGAAGAAGAATGGATTTATTTAGATTACAGTCCCAAGTTATGGTCTATTGTAGTGGGGAGAATATTTAAGGTGGAACTTGAAACAGAAACTGTGGGAGAGCACTGCTTTTTGGCCAGTTCACAGGGACTTGCTTATTGACCTTTTTCATACAGGATAAGATCATTTGCAAAGGGAATGGTCTCACCCACAGTGGAGTAAACCTTCCTGCATCAGCTAATAGTCAAAACATAAATTCACAGACATGCCCACTGGCCAAACTGACCTGTGCAAAATCCATCAACTGAGATTTCTCATTCAATTTTCTCTAGTCTGTGTCAAGTTGACCATTAAAGCTTTGCAGGACACAGATGCTAAAGGCTACTATAGCAGTCATTTTGATTGGACTAGTCCTAGCACAAACACCAGAGACCGCAGAGCCTGAATCACCTGCTGTATTGTCTTATTCTAAAAGTTTTGCCCATGCCTGTTTTAAACTCCAGATGTATTTAGTCTGTTTCTAAACGCAGTACTGGGCTTTTGTTTTTTGTTGTTTTCATTGCCTGCCTTCTTCTTTTGTATTTTTCACTCTGTATACACATACCCCAAACTCCTAAACCCCAGGGTCAGCTTGGGAAGTTCCAGCCAGCACTCTGTTCTCTGTCCTAGTGATGGCTTCATGCAATCCTTTGTTTCCCTTACCAAAGATTCAGGACTTTTTATTTATTCCGTTTACTTCAGTTACTATATGTCCAGTCAAATTGCTATTTGGCATTCGTTATTGAATCCCTTGTTCTGTATACTGTAGATCTCAGTAAATACTTGCTAATTGGAGAATCTAAGAATGTATGAGTATCATTTTAAAAACCATTTGTTTATGAATAATTGTGATCGTGGATACACACATGTTTACCTGTGACAGTGTGTATGTGAGTGTATATGAATACATGCAGAGACCTGAGGTCAACCTTAGAGAATGTTCTTCTTTGAAAATCATTTTTTAAACAGAGACTCACATTAGCCCATTGGTTTAGACTTCAGCCAATCAGGCCAGGATTCCAAGCCAGAAAGCCCCAAGGATCCACTGGTCTCATCTCTGTGTCATCACACCTGGAATTATGTGGGTTCTGGAAAGCAGGATCTTCATGCTTTACTTATGATGAATTACTACATGAATTACTTAATGTTTTAATGTGTTCTCTGTTGCTATGATAAAACACCAGTACCCAGAAGCAACTCAGGAAGGAAGAGGGTTATTTTACTTATACTTTGGCATTATAATCCATCTATGAAGGAAGTCAGAACAAGAGCTCAAGAAGGACCCTAAAGGCAGGGACTGAAACAGAGCCCATGGAGGAGTTCTACTTACTGGCTTGCTCTCCATGACTTGCTCAGCTTGCTTCCTTATAAAACCCAAAACCACCTGTCCAGGAGTGCCACTTCCCATGGTGGACTGGGCCCGTCCATATTAATCTTTACTAAAGACAATGCACATCAGACATGCCCACAGGCCATCTGAACCTCAGTTGAAGTTTTCTTTTCTAAGGTGACTCTAGTTTGTGTCAAGTTGACAAAAGTTAACTAGCATAATCGACCCCTGTTACCTTGAAACAAATGCATAGTGATTAAACCATAACCTTCCCTTTATTGTTTTTTCCTAAGATCTCATGTTAATATAACAATATGAAACATAGCATAATTTTAAAAGTTACACTACGTTTATGGATTTTGGTTGAAGATCTCTGTAAAACTTCAAAGCCTCCTAACTATGGACTTCTGTAAATCCAAAGCCCAAATCATATAATTTATTGTTCTAAGTAAGATGATTCAATAAACAGTTACAGCTAAAGAGAAAATAACATCTAGGTGTGCAAATCAAACTTTGTAGTTCACTCTTTATCATCTAGGACTCATTTAAGATCTTCTGGGCTTCAAAGGGCTTCGGTGCCCTCACTGCTCCTTTGGTTCTTCCATCTACAGCATACTCCTCTTATCCAGTAGACTCAGGCCAACTCCACTTCACACCTTACATTGTCCTTTGCAGTCATCTTATGGTTATGACATCTCTAATGTACTATTACTGTTCCTATAGCCTGTAACTATGACCAGGCTCAACTACATAGCACATTCCAGGGTTACATAGTAAGACTGTATCTCAAAAACACCAAAACAAACAAACAAACAAACCAGCATCCTCTCCTTTCTAACAGCCTATTCTGAAGACATATTTTCTTAATATCTCTCAAAATAAGTCAATAATTTAAGATATTTATACATATGCAAAATATTCTTATGTTGTTTTAATATTAAAATACAGGTTGCTATGCAAAAATATGTTGGAATATAATCAGCTTTTTAATATTCTAATGAATAGATACTTAAATATGTTAATTATTGAATGACATTTATAAAAACCACATTTACCATAATATTTTAGTAAGTACATCTGTACTAAGCACCCATTCTCCAAAGGCTGGGCAGTAGATACATACTGGTTGTAGTCTCAGCATTTACTAACAGTGGACTGTTATATTTTAGAGATCAGAAAATGAGAAAATCTAATAAGATCAATCATTTGCAAAGCCATACACCCAATGAATGATGTTTCAGAAAACAATAAAGTTGTAAGGTTTTGATTTTAATACCTTAAATATTCAAATCTTGTTTTTCAGAGAATACTGCAATGACCTTAAACCTTCAGATAATAACACCGAATTTCTTTTAAATTTCAATGAATTTATTGATAGGAAAACTCCGAACAACCCTTCTTGTAAGTATATATGTATTTGTAGTACTTGACTCAGTGCTTGTATCCAAAGTGGTCAATTTGCTTCATCTGATCAAGTCTCAGGGTAATCATATCAGCTTATTGGTGGGCTGTTTGTTTTGTTTTTTAACTGCATGGATTTTAATGATGATATGAAACAAATTGGTCCTTAACTTTTTATATTTGCAATATCATCCTTGAAAGTAGTTAAGTGAAGTTCTTACCCTAGCTCCTCTCACATGTAGAAAATTTGGTTTGACCACCTATTGGAGAGTTTCATTACACTGATGCACTTGCAATGTAGAGGAAAACAGGGTATGTTCTTTGAATGTGTTATGTCATCAAATTAATGTTTTTCTATGGATAGAATATAAACAGCAATCACCTATAAGTTTTCTTTCTTTATGACTTAGTTTGATGACAAACATCCTTGTCTAAAAATATATTTCTGAAGTTGCATACTTTGTGAAAAAATCTGATAGCTGAAGGTAATTTTAAAAATTAATTTTAGTTATCATAGTTATCTCACTGATAAATCTATACCATTACTTCCTTATGGTTTTTCTTAGATACCTAGGTTCTGGGCTTTTAAACATTTAATAATAAAAAAATTTTCAGCCTAAAAATTGCTTCTACAAGTTCAATATTTGGATATAATTCAACTGATAAATAAGTAAGAAAAAAAAATGCATATCACAATTTACCCCAGTAAATAGAATTTGAAAAATGAAGAAATAGATGAGACATATACTTCCTTCTCTTTTCTTTTCTCATTTTAAAAGCCAATTACTTCTTTTAGAAAAGTCCAAACAAACCATTTCTATCAGTTATGAAAGCCAGAAAGCCACCTTTCTAAATCTGTCTTCCAACTCAAATTTATGTTGGAAAACCAGCTGAATTGTTCCATCTCAACTCTGTCATATATGTAAGTCAGATATTACTGAAGACTATATACTCTTTATTTGAATCAGATAGATTTTATCATGAATGTGAGTGAAAGTACCTTCAAGTTGTCTCAGAGTTTCACACCCTGAGAGTAGACAAACCACAACAGGCATAATGAATAAGATATGCTCTGTGATCTTGGGTCCTCATATTTTATTCTCTCTGTGGACAAGTATGCTCTTCAGTTATTCCAGAAATGTCAGCCAAAAGCTGGTGCTCTTGAACCGAAATTACTACATTCAAAACTCAGTTTTAGGATGGTACTGGTATAGGATAATTCTAACCCTTTCCCTTGTTCCAAAACAAACATGAAAATGGACATGTATAGGAATTTTCGAGAAGTCCAGTTTAAAGTCTGAAAATATTATGTTCCACTGTGGAATGTAGAAGAGATAAAGGACATTCTCCTTATTTAAAAAAGGTGAAAGTAGATGGGGACTTTTTTTGATGTTTTTACTTGATAATTTCATTTAATAATCCTACCTATACAAGAGTATATTGAATATACATATATACATATACACATGTATACATACATGTATACATATATACATATATAAATATGTACATATATACATGTGTTTATATGTATATATAAATATATATATATATGATATGTAACCACATACTAAGCTATAAAACCAAACAGAAAACAGAAAATCATTTCTTTGTTTCCTAAACTATCATAGTGCAGACATCTTTTTGAATTTTCATCTATTTATTTATTTATTTGCATTTAAGATTTTCTCCATAGTTTCATCCATAATCACTGCATTCACATCCTTTTTCCTTCCTCTCTTTTTTCACTGCCTCCCACCCTATCCCCCATCAAGTTCATAACCTCTTATTTTCATTTATAGTGCCCATATGTATGGGTTTATATATATTTAAGATGTATGTATATATACAAATATATATGTATACGTATGTGTGTATGCATACACACACATGCACACACATACATATACATGTATATAAAAACACAGTCACACACACACACACACACACACACACACACACACATCCTCCTGTGTCCAGTTAGTGTTGTTCATATACATATGGGCTGATGACAAGGATTTGGATATCCCATCAGGAGCTTGTCCTTGGAGACAACTGATTGTCTCTTTCTAAGCAGTCACTATTTGCCAGTACTTCTTCATCATGAGTGATGTCGTGTAAAGTTTCCCCTCTCAGTGTGGCATAGCACCTGTTATTGTCACTGTGCACATCTTAGTTAGGCAACATTATTCGTCAGTTTCCATAGGTATAGCTTCCTTGTCCTGTCTAGAAGTCAGATGTTTTTTGATAAAGCATTTTCTCTTAGTAGTGACTGGATTTTGTAATACTAATTCATTCATGTCCTCAATATGTAAGACAAGATAAATGAATTAAAAATATAAAATTCATATAATACATACTTGAATATCTACTGAACTGGTTTTGAAAATAGTGAATATATTTGTTTCATTATTAATTGGAATTTAAAACCTACGTAAGTTTAATTAAAGAAATCCTTTTTGTCTGTGTTAGGTAATACAGATTTGATTAATAGAATCTTGCTGGATGCAGGTTTTACAAATGAACTTGTCCAAAATTATTGGAGTAAGCAGAAAAATATGTAAGTATTTGTCGTAGTTACTAAAAGTGTATATTTTGCATTTCAGTTTCACACCTCCCTGGGAAACTTTTGGATAATGGCCCTCATAAATTCAGTTTGTTATTTAGCTTTAGATATGATTTCTCAGAAAATCATTTTACAACTGTTGATAAGTTGCATTTTCAGTTGCGAGTATAATTCAGCATAATATTGGCCATTTGTGAGTGTTACATGTTAACATGGCTAAAGCATATTAAATAGACATGTTTGTGTATGTGTGTCCGTGGCAAAATGTGTTTCCTACTGACTGTTTTACTCAGCTTTCTCGCACATGCTGTATGCTTACCCAAGAAGTACAAAGTCCCTCAAGGTGGTTCTCATTCATAATTTCTTCTCCATTTGTTCCCAGTCAACCACTGGATGCTAGATGGTCCTTCTCATTGTGCTTCTGCCTCTTCTTCATAATCAAGGCCCTAAAGTGCCATTTTTCAGAAATTACAACAGCCAAGTTTTGTGCCATTAGTGCTTCCCAGTCCTGTTCTAAGTCTATTGCTTCTACAAGGAATCTCTGCCCCAGACCTGTTTCAAACATATACTGTAATGACGATAAAGATGGAGCTTGAAGACAATGATGCTAGTTCATATCTCTAGTCTCAGCATTTAGGAAGTGATGCAGGGGCTGCACATATTTAAAAGTCATGTGCATAGACCAAATCCTGTCTCAGAGAGGTGGGGGAGGGGGCAATTGTCAAGCATGAACTTCAAAATGGACCCTTCAAGAAACTTGTTCTGGAGACTGGACTTCCTGTAATTTCTTTCCCTTTCTCTTATGCAGTTCTCACAGACAACAGACACTTTTACTAACTTTTCCTCATACATACTGTTTTCAATACACTGATCTCCTCTGTATTCCCTGCTACTAGTCAGTCTTCAAAGGACAACGCCATCCTTCTTTCTTCTAAAATGACTCTTAAATATGTTGGCAGCAGGAGTTACATTTCACAGTTTACTAACCTACCTTTTTGTGTGTGTTAATATGTAATTTTGTATTACGAGTTTAGCATCTTACAGCTTATTTTCTCAAATGTCCTCCTTTTATCTTCCACTTTCAGCAAAGGAGTGAAGGCACGCTTTGTGGTGACTGACGGTGGGATTACAAGGGTTTATCCCAAAGAGTAAGTTCACATAACATCTGTAAAACTAAGTTCATCACCACAGCCTGTGCCAAGGCTCTGGATGTTGCCATGTAAGGAAGCTACTCTTTGGGAAAACCGATCACTGTTAGTATATTCAATTGCAGTATTATTTAAAATGTTTATATTAATAAAATATTCCATTTGCCCTAACAATATTATTGTAAGATGTTTTGATGGCAGTCGCTTGTCATCTTTGTATATATCCATTACAAAATGTAAGAGAGCTTGAAAGAGATGTTCCACTTTGTAGGTAGAGTCCAACTGGCTAGATGAGCATAATGGTGACCCCAGCAGCGTCAGTGTAGTGCATCCTTGCTTGCATTGTTCTCCCTTGCCTCATAGCTCTCGCTATCTTAGGAACATTTCCTGCACTGGACTGAATAGGGACCAAAGCTCATTAATATCAATTAACTGACTTATCCATAGTTTCATGACTGCGAGTCAGCATTTTCTTATTCTTATTATGCTGATGTATTGCTTAGTAATGAGTATCAGTTACACTATCCATACCTGACTTCCTTAGATATACCTGAATGGGAGACATGTCTGTATAGCTCTATTTCCACAAAGGGAATTCAGGTTATCATGCACCTTAAGGAATATAAATGATGAAAGCCATTTCCTCCCTAGGGCTGGAGAAAATTGGCAAGAGAACCCAGAGACGTATGAGGACAGCTTCTACAAACGGAGCCTAGACAACGATAACTACGTTTTCACCGCGCCCTACTTTAACAGTGAGTGTCCTTTGAAATTCACCCTTCTCAGTTCCTTTTACATGTTAAATGATTCCTCCTAGTGTCCCACCCTTCAAATCAACATATTTTGTTAGCTGTCTAGAACGCTCATTATTAAGTATGTAATATGCCCAAGAGACTAGAAAAACAGAAAAGAAACACCCACTTAGTTAAAGAAATAGAATTCGTGCATAGCAAAAGTTCACCTAGCAATGAGGAGCTAGCATCTCTAGCAGGCATGCATGGTAAGTAGAAACATATGGGGCTAATCCCATGCATTTCATCTACTACCTTCAAGCATAGCTAATGAATGAAATTGGTCGGTGTATAGTGATAAATTGCATCTTATCTTTGTTAATTGTGTAATTTGCTATCTATAAAAATGAATAACCTGTCTTTTGAATAATTTATATGGTTCCCCCCGAGAGGGGGCTTTTTAGGTCAACCCTTCACCATCTGTATACATAGTTATTTTATTACTCACATTTTAAAAATGAGGGAACTGAAATTCTTAAAGTTTCCGAGTTGTGTCCACAGACACGTATCTCCTGTAAAGCAAAGCCTCTTTTGTGACCCTATAATCATTCCTTCCATTTCTCTCCAGCAGCCTCCCCAACTGTTTGAAATATCACAAAACCATGATTGGACATATGTCCATTATAGTATGGAAGTAGATAAAATGAAGTTGAATTATTCTTGTCAGTAAATAAGTAAAGTCAATCCATGACTACTCAAACTTTCTTGGTATATTCAGGAAGAAAAGTAGGAGATGAAACCTCTTTAAAAGTGGAATGATTCACTCAAAGGAATCATGACTCATCTAGATCAGCCTGTTTCCTTTCTTCTTTTTTTCTTTTTTTTAGAAAGTGGACCTGGTGCATATGAATCTGGAATTATGGTAAGCAAAGCTGTAGAACTGTATATCCAAGGAAAACTTCTTAAGCCTGCAGGTAAGCACCTACATTATCTGTACATGTGTGCAAAGTTAAGCAAGACATTTATATTTCATCATCAAATGGAGTCATTTATTGGGAAGATCAAAGTTTTAAATCTGGGATTGATACAACAGTGCTAATCTTATCCTATTTTCAAACACATAAAATATTTGTGCCAATGCTGTACATATCTATAATCATTTAAACATGAAATCATTTTGACATATCTATATACTAGACTACACTGTAGCTGCTGAAAAGATTTAGGGCTGGATCTAAGTGAAATGTTCAAGAATTTGGAAAAGAAAATTAAATCAACCAAGCAAAGAAAAACATAGACCAGTACAAACGAGAACTGGAAATGCTGTAGTGAATGGCTACAGTAAAGTCTAGCACAGTGTAGATTTTCATCGTAGGACTCAGCATTGTTTGCTAGTGTGTTTTGAGAGACCAGGTGGACGAGAGGGAACTGACTGTCTGCTCCTAGGAACAATGTTACTCTGCCAATGGTTCAGCTCCTAGAAATCACTGTTGGTAACTAGCTCATTCGTCTTTCCCTGGATTGCTAATTTACTTACTACTACTTCTCTCAGCTGTTCACTCTTCCCCTCACTCTCAATATCTCATACACTCATCTCTCCACTCTTCCAACAAATGTTCCTTAAGAGACTAATGTTTGAACTGGTAGGGTGAGAGTAACGTTTTATGTGTACTGCTCAGGTCGTCTCATACTTTTCAGATCAGCATTCACATTAGTTTTAGGTAATACTACTAATTAATTGGACAGCCAGGTGGTGATTATTTTAAATTCTTTTCTTCTAATGTAATGTATGGTAGTGGTCTTCAACCATCCTAAGGCTGCAACCCCTTAATACAGTTTTTCATGTTGTGGTGAAACCAACCATAAAATTACATCTGTTTCTACTTCATAGCTGTAGTCTTGCTACTGTTATGAACTGTAATGTAAATTTTTTGGAGATAAAGGTTTGTCCAGGGGTCAAGGTCCACAGGTTGAGAACCACTTGTTTATGACTTAGTTACGGACTACAAGCATTATTTCTTAAAGACACCGAAAACAGAGTCTTTGTATAAAACTTTATACTGAATGCAAGTTTATTGGCTAGTTTATAAATTGTGTAAGCTGTTACATTGAAAAGATGCTATTATAGCAATTATGACTTCAAATTAACTTACATTACTTTTTCAGTTGTGGGAATTAAAATTGATGTAAATTCCTGGATAGAAAATTTTACCAAAACTTCGATCAGGGATCCGGTAAGATTTTTTTCAAAGTTACTAAGATATGATTAATAGTCTCAATGTTCACATAAGTAAATATGATCCTTGTGTAGGGGCAAAGTAAATTTCCAGTGTCACTACACTTAAATAAAAATATGAATTTCCATTTTCAGTGTTTGACAACTTGAAATGCTCATACAGATACATATTGATATTTCTTGGTTTTAAGAAATGGAACTAGTATCTTTTTTCATATAAACTATGATTATGAAATCTTATTTAGATTAGCTAAAATTATTCAAGGCTGTTGCATTATAAGAAGGTAGCTATTAAATTTAACTTGTTTTAAAATGTGAAATGATTTTATTTATTTTTTTATTCATTTATTTACTTATTTATTTTTTAGTGCGCTGGTCCAGTTTGTGACTGCAAAAGAAACAGTGATGTAAGAAAACTTTTAAAATACATTTGACTGTAGTGTATTTGTTTCTCTTGGGTGCTGAATAACAGACATATCAATGATCTAAAAGATCCTGGGAATTTGTTTATATCTAATACTAATAAATTCTATAGAAAACTGATCTATACTGATACTTTCAATGCTTCTTCAGAAAGTATTTATATCTCAAGGGAAGAAGAAGAGCCATGTCCATGTGGACCATAATCTGCTCAGTATTGATGAAGGTGGAGACTTTTGAGCATCTTCAACTTTATCTGTTCGTAGGAAGGTTCTAAGAAAAGCATCCTATTGGTCTTGATAGCAGTCTGCATTGGGAAAACAAACTAAGTGCGGATGATCTGCTTTCAAATACCTGTGTCCTCTGCGAAAATGATGGAGCAGTGTGCTCACCTTCTTAAACACCTGTTGCTTCCTTCTCGTAGGTAATGGACTGTGTCATTCTAGATGATGGCGGATTTCTTTTGATGGCCAATCACGATGATTACACTAATCAGGTATGAAGTACAGTTTCCAAAGTGACTTTCTACAATGCAAATTGAAAAACTCCATAGGTTTTTTTAGAAACTGATGACTTGTTTCATTTTCATCACAAAGTAGATCTTCAAGAGATTAATATAATGTCAACCAATGTACTGTAAATAGTCGATCTAGCTCTCCTCTGATAAGTTACTTCACTTTTAGGTAACAGGAGTCACCATTAAAGCAGTTGGCTGAGGATTTGAAAATGAAATGAACTTGCTTTCATTCTTTCAACAATTCAGAAATTTGTTAAACAATTCAGAAAATTGTTTAAAAAATGCAATCAGTTGGTACTGTCTTAAGTTATCATATGACCAGGTGCAATTTCTAGATTAAAATTTGCAAATTGGTCGTAAAACACTATGGATTCTGTCTCTACATCTCAAGGGGTTCTATTTATCTGAAGAGCTCCCAGCACAAGTCCTTTGTCTGACTAAAGATGGCTTCTCTGCCAAAGCTAGTGGTTTATGATTGTTCCTTTCTCTGAGGCTCCCAGTCCAGGGTACAGCCCACTGAGTGAGTTTTCAGTCTTACCCTCGTGTAGAGAACTCTTCACTTCTTCTGACGATGTTTACTGAAAGCTATGGGGTATAAGATGGTTTTGTACATGGTTATTACTATAAGTCAAGCCAATTCAAGTACCTGCCATCTTAGTGACTTTGTGTGGAAAGAGAACCAAAATGTACCTTTTGTTGATTTCTGCCATACAATTAAACATTATTAACTATCATTATCCCTTGACACTTTTACCCAAGGAACTGAAACTGTTGCCCTCATTTCCTGATTCTAACCCCATTCTTTTCACCAGAAGACATCTAATTGTGACCTTCTTGTGCTTAGGTGTGGGTTAGGTGTCCATTCCTCCCACAAACATAATTCTTCAGTAGCACCCCTGAATAAGAAGAGTCCCTAACTTAATCTTGATTCTTGAACATTGGCAGAGGCAGGTTGTCATTTGCTTAAATTACAAATTGGTTTTCCATTTCAGTTTCTTATACTGTGTTTTTTTCCCTACTGTATAGTTCAGGGATTGAGGCCATTTTAAAATTGAAATATCAAATATTTCTTTCCTTTCCAGATTGGACGTTTTTTTGGAGAGATTGACCCAAGCATGATGAGACACCTGGTTAATATATCACTTTATGCATTCAATAAATCATATGACTATCAGTCAGTGTGCGATCCAGGGGCAGCACCAAAGCAAGGGGCAGGACATCGTTCAGCATATGTGGTCAGTAAAACCCACAGTTGAACCATCTCCTCTTATGAGGGCACTTACACCAGTGCAGACCAATATAATGAACTCTTGATATAAATTTTGTATCTCATAGCCATCGATTGCAGACATACTACAGATTGGCTGGTGGGCCACTGCTGCCGCCTGGTAAGTCAAGAGTTTGTTTTCTTATCACAGAAAGAAAAATGTCATTAATATATTTATATATATATTGAAAGGTGAGTTGTGTTGTGGGTATCATTCCTTCCTTTCCTGTGAACATGTTAGAAACATTAGTTATTTCTAAAGGATCATGTTAAACACACTTTTCCACTTTTTAATATGAAAATACTGATCGGTTCAAGAAAATACTACCCTCCTCAGAGATATTTTATGTTAACATTTGTTCTTGGGGATGTCTTACATGTATGGAATGCAGTTTGAGTCCACCATGTTTTGTTTCCCTTCCATCTCTATGAGCCTATCTTCCTCCCTACAAATCACTTAGCATCTTACCATCATTTTGTTTGTGGTCTACTGAGTTCACCAAGGCCATCTGAGGGCTCATGGGTATGGAACACCTGATGAGCTTGCCAGTGGGTACACATCAGAAGATAATGACACTCCTTCTCCCATAATCTGTCTGCAACCAACACTTTAGTATGCATAGTTGGAACCCCAAGTTCCCTCCTCTAACCTGACTGGTTTCCAGCAGGTCCAGTCTTTTGCAGGCCCCGTGTAGGGACCACATTACTGTGAGTTTGTGTTTGCCATGGCTATCCCAGGCCCAAGAGACAGCACATTGTAGAACTTCTTTCTGTTTTCCAGCTGTTAGATTCTTTAAGTCTCCTCTTCCATGGTATTTCCTAAACTCAAGAGAGGGTAATATAGGTAGGCCGTGTAGCACCTCAAGTGTTTAGCAATCACTATAATTCATGGTAAAGAGGAGTAGCATTTCTAATTAAGGCTGAGAACAAAAATTGTCTGTAAATATAAACACAGATGCCAAGAAGAGTTTGCCCTCATGTGAATTTAGCTACACAACAGTAAGAAAATTTCCCCAGGGTTTATGTTCTCCCTGGGCATGGGTTTTTGACTGGATTATTTTGTGACCCAGCTAGAATTCTCAATTTGTGTCTTTGAATATTAAATTAATCCTTAAATTCTAAAAGTATTTCTCTATAAGACATGATAATTATATTTAGTATGCAAATAAGATCATATTTATCTAATTCAAAGACGGTAACAAATTTTCTACCTTTTGCCGTTAATACAATACGGGCAAAGTGTCAGAAGCCTCACGTTGAAGTGACTCCTGTTCATCCAGTGGATGACTCTCTCTGTCCTCTCCATCCACCATGCACTTCTACCTGTGACATTCAAACATATAACCTGCTGAGAGACGATCAGAGTGTGAAGCTCTGCAAGAGTGTGGAAATCACATTCTGATCACCCATCACTCAGCCTCCTCCTGTGTGTAGGACCCCTTCTCTCCTTCCTTCCCCCTCTGCTTCTCTCCTATCCGCCCTGTCTTTTTGGGTTTATACCTCATGCTACTGAACTGGTTCAGCCTTATCCCATGTTTATTAACCTATAATATCCATTGAGTATTAAGCATTTGAGTGATAAAATCAAGTTTATATCATTTTTAATAAAATAACAAAAATATTTCAATTTTTAAAAATCCCATTTTTGAAAAATGTTTTTGAGAATATGATAGTACTATTTGTATGTTAATATAAGTAAATATTGCTTATTTATTGTAATAATCCTGGAATACTTGCCTTTGTTCCATTTTCTGGCTAGAATCTCTCTATTCCTGCCCGTTAACTAAATTCAGTTTCAGGATATTATGTAGGAAAACTTAATTCAATTACCATTTATTATAAAATTAAAATATGTCGTATTTCTCTATATAACTTTATGTATGCCATGTTACAGGTTAAGCTCAAGCCTGAAGTTCAGATTATAGAGTTTTAATAACTAAAATAAAAAGAAAATTCAGGATATAAAAGTTCACGGACCAAATGTAGCCATTCCTCCCCATAGAGTCAACACTTCTACAATTTATATTACTTACTAGGTTTCTTAACTGTTGTATATCCCTCCTTTGGTCCCAAAACTTTTTAGTTAATGAATTCATGAATCTTTTGCTGATTAGAGTCAAAGGTATAACATTTTTCACAATTCAAGAATTATGTCTTTAAGTTTCTATTAAACTATGTTTTCTAAAAATGATAAAAATGAGGTATGTGTATATTTGTGCATGCAAAGCTGCTCAGTATCTTCATATAAATATTGTAAAGGAGAGCCTCTAGATGTTTCTCAATTATTCATTTAAAATTTCAGGTCTATCGTCCAGCAGCTACTCTTGAGTTTGACATTTCCACGACTCCTTGAGGCAGGTATGTCAATGAGCAGATGAGGTCACTGGCACAGAAGTCCACTTTTCTTTTGTCAGTGAAGCAAACTCAGAGAGAGAGAGAGAGAGAGAGAGAGAGAGAGA